AACTCATGGAGATCCTCCTGTCTCAGCTTCTCAAGTACCTCGATACAAGGGCCACCACTATGCATCGCAATTTTTTTTTAAGTGATATCGAGGGAGAGCCATGGTCTCATCATGCAGACCACAGATCTGACAGGTTGAGATAAGGATTTCCTACTATGCAGCCTGGCTCTGGCAGGCAGAGTGCATCCAGGAAGGACCTGAGTAAATGTCCCATCCAGGTACAAGGTCACCATGAGACCCCAAGCCGCAGTCCACACCTCTTAGTGAACTCATAAGCTAAAGTTTTATTTGATTTGTTTTCTTTTGTATTTTGTTTTGTGTGTTTCCTTATGTTTTTTAAGACAGCATTCAAATATACAGGCCAAGCTGGTCAGAATTCTAGGCAATCCTCCTGCCTCAGTCTCATCAATGATGGGATCACAACCATGACTCACCATAGCTGGCACCAGTCTGACTTTTATACCCAAAACAATTAAAATCCCTGGGGCGGGGGGTACACACCTGTAATCTAAGCACTCTGGAGACTGAGGCAAGAACATTGCCAAGAGTTCCAGGCCAGCCTGGCCTACCTATGAGACCATGACTTAAAAAGAAAAAAGAAAAAAAGAGAGAGAGAAGGAAGAGGAGGAAGAGAAAGAAAGAAGAAGAGGAAGAAGAGGAGGAGGGGAAGAAGAAGCAAAGAAAGAGAAAGAGGAAAAGAAAGACCCAAACGCCAAGAGAATTAAAACAGAGGATTCAAAATCAGGGACAAATTTGAAATAAAAAAAAATAAAGATAACATTTCAAACTGAATTGATGTGGGGCATGGTGGTTTCAACTGACTTAATCTGTTGAATATAATGAGATTACAGCAAGCACACCAGAGGTCAATGTGTGGCTTCCAGCGCAGCTCCACAATTTCCCAGGGGGAGGACAGTGGAGGATGAAGAAATGTAGATAAGAGACAAAATGCAGAAAGCTGAGTACAGGCGGAGCCTCCGCTTCTGGTGGAAGAAACAGAGCCGAGGCCTGCAGCACCTTTTATTTATTCACTCAGGAGGTTGATGTCTGTGCAAACCCCTCTGCCTAACAACTGGTTTGCCTGGCTCACCTCAGGCACCTCAGGTTCTCAGAGCCGAACAGCCTGTTCATGGGATTCACCTCGGGTGCTCTGTGTTCATGGGGCTGGCCTTGCTTTAGCCCCACACATGTGATCCATCTCCAGCTTTAGCTGCTTGCTATGCACACTGAGGCAGGAAGATCATCATATGTTCAAGGCCCGCCTGGGCTGCATACTGAGTTCAATGACAGCCTGAACTATACAGAGAAACCTCGTCTCTCAAAAAACAGAATAACAAACACAAACTGAAATCAAGAAACGGGGTACAGCGGTACATGACATAACCCTGGCTACCTGGGAGACTGATGCACCACGATTATAAATTCTAGGCCAGCCTGCGCATCTTAGTGAGTTGCTGTCACTACAGAAACAGAAACAGGGCTGATGCATAGCTCACTACTGGGGCAGTCACCTGACCCACACAAGGCTCTAGGGTCCACCACAAACTCCACACAACACACACACACAAAAATAAAACCTCACATTATTGCACACTCCTATTCCTAGCAGCATGCACACAATAAGCAATAGCGAACGAGTAGGTAGACCAGATGTCACCTGTCCATCAGGTTAGTGCAGTGAAATCCAGCCACGCTCTGCATTCTTCCTTTCATTTTATATCTCTTTGCAGATATTCGGTTTTTGGTTTTTGTCTTTTTGAGACAGGCTCTCACACTGAACAAAAAGTCAGACTTCTGACTTTCCTCTTGCCTCAGCTTCTTGAGCACTGGGCTTAATGGTGTGGACTACCACAAAGCCCTGCAGACACAGGTTTTATACAAAACAATGAAGTTGAACCCTTACCTCACATCACAGACAGCAGTCTGCACTCAGTAACTAAATGTGACAAGTAGCACTGAGGCTCAGGGATAATAGTGACAACCAGCATTCCCAGCACCTCCAAGGGTGATGCAAGAAGATCACTTCAAATTTGAGCCCAGCATGAGCTACATAGTGAGTTCAAGGTCTGTCTTAACTACATACACAAGGAGATTCTCTCTCAAAAGAAAGAAGGCAGGGAGGAAGGAAGGAAGGAAGGAAGGACAGACAGACAGAAAGAAAGTAAAAAAGAAAACCCTGCCACACTGCACATGGTGGCCTGAGTCTATAACCCTAGCACTCAGGAGGCTAAGGCAGGAGATCTGCTGTGAATTTGAGCCCAACTTGAGCTGCATAGCAACATCAAGACTAGCCTGAATCCCATAGTAAGACCCTGTGTCCAAGAAAAAAAAAACCAGCTCTGACTAAGCACGGTCATTCCTGGGTGAAGCAGGCACAATGTATTCACATGCCCAGATGTAGGGATGCAGTGCTGTCCCACATCTACGCTACTAGAGGGTGCAATAAATTTGCTTTTCCAGCACAGGACCCAAGGAAAGCTAGGACACAGTTTTGTAAAGAAATCACTTTCCTGCTGCGGGCTTGGGGAGAGCCAGACATAGGCCTGTCTCTGTGATCAGTGCCATTCAAGGAGGGAGAGAACCTGGCCCCAGAGGGACGAGATCCCCTCCTGAAAACCATATCATTTTCATTGGATTGGTTTGTGCGTTTTGGGGGGGATGGGGTAGTTTCTTTTGTTTTGTTTATATTAACTCTAGTGGCATGTGGAGCTATTTAAAACATAGCAAGTCATGTTGCAGAAGCCATTATGCATTTACTACTGGCTTGCTTTGAGGTCCTTTATTCATTTAATTGGTTTTTTTTTCCCAAGAAGTGGAAAATGATATTCATTTATTGTTTTGTTCTTATTATTTCTGTTCTGTTCAATTTTTAGTATGTTCAAAGGTGATATCTCAGTCATTTGGAAGACTACAAAGGTATTGTGGTAAGTATTGTTGATTTCATAAGCTTTGGAAGTCCTGTGTCTCTTATTCTGGTTTATTTTGATAGATTTTATTCTGTTTTATTTTCCTTGTTTTTTTCCTCTTGAAAATAAAATTTTTAAAACATTTTTAAAAGTAGGGCATGGTTTCAAAGGTCACTTAAAGAGAAAAAGAAAAAGTCAGGCATGGTGGCTCATGTCTGTAATCCCAGCACTCGGGAGGCCAAGGCAGGAGGATCGTTGTGAGTTCGAGACCAGCCTAGGCTACAAAGTGAGCTCAAGACCAGCCTGAACTGCATAGCGAGACCCTGTCTCAAAAAGACAAAAAAGAAAAAGAACAACAAAAGCTAGTGTCCCACCCTACTTAAAAAAAAAAAAAAAAAAAAAAACCTGCTTTCTTAAATAGGATTTCCTTTCCTTATCAGCACAGTTTAAACACTCACTGCTTGCCCAGAGGGACAGCACACAGCTAAGGTCCCTGCTCAGGAGCCTGAGGCAGGAGGATCCTTGCCAGTTGGAGGCCAGGCTGAGTTATTGGTGAGTCATCCCCAGGGAATGTATCAGTAAATGGACAGACACAGAATACATGATTGCAGTTTATTAACTGCCAAAATAATTTTATATAAAAATCACACAAAGAAGGGGCTGGGGATTTAGCTCAGTGGCATAAGCACCTGCCTTGCAAACAGGCGATGGTGAGTTTGATTCCTGGTACTGATAAAAAAAAAAATCAAAGGGCCAGGGATATAGCTCAGTGGCAGGACGCCTGCTTGGCAGGTGCAAGGTGTTGTTGTAGTCAGGGTTTGCAAGGAGAACGAGACAACATGGAACACATAATTTATAGTATTTTATGATAGTCATTCAAAAAGTCAAATGCAAAAGAAAAAGTGTAGGAAACCTGAGACCCAAGGAATCCAGCTGAGGTTTGGATCCCATAGCAATGTCTGCACGAGACCAGCGCAAAACCTAGAAGCTATGACAATATTTCATGCAAGTCTATTTCACAGATCTGTATTGGGAAGACCCAAAGGTCAGCGTTGTGCCAATGGGGTGAAGGAGCTGCACTGGAGGAAGGAAGAGACACTCAAGGTGAGGATCAGAGCTCACCTGGAAACAACCGCAGCCACCCTCAGAAACAACAAGGTCCCGAGCTCCTCTGATGATAGGAACAGCCAAGTTCATATCAGGAAAGAAGCTACACAAGCTCCACCAGCAGAACCAATGGCAACAGGAGAGCCAAAAGCACCCCACAACACTTCTTACCCCCAGTTCTCCATTTTTATGTTTGGCAACAATCCTCAGCTGGCCACCCACACTCAGCACCATGCTGATTCAGTTTAGCTCTTATTACAGATTGCCCACCATCCGTCAATCAACTCCAAAGCTCGTGAGTCCAAGTCCCAGTATGGAAAAAAAAAAAATCACACATATTTTTGTGCACAACTAAAATTTTTTATTCATATTTTAACTCTTTTACAGAGATTACAATCAAGGAAAATACAATAGAAAAAAAACCATCAAGATAAACTAGTTATCATGATGCCCCTTGCGGTCCTCAAAATAGCTGCAGGTAGCTTCGGACATACTAAAAATCCAACAGAACAAAATAGACCAGAAACAACAAAAACAAAACCATGAATGTAATAAAGAACTTCAAAATAAGCTAATAGCAAACCCAAAATGGTTACCATAATGTCTTGCTGTCTTTGAAACAACTGCTCACACCATATTTAACATAATCAAACAAAAAAAAAGGAGAATAAAACACAACCCAAGAAATTAATGAAGATGATATGGTTTTCAGGGAAATCACCTCCTGGTGAAGCCTTATCCAAAATTTTCCAGAAAATCCTCACAGTCAGATAAAAATGTCCATCCCTCATCCCTCGGAAACTACATGTTGAATGCACGGTAAGGATTGAAAGTCTCCCAGCACTAAGTGTGGACAGGACTCAACTGCAGCAGCCACCTGGCTTCTGGACCTTAGCCTCAAGGCCAGGTCCAACCTCTTGCCCAACCTGTTTCTGGGTGACTGCTGTAGGACAGGACTACAAGACACCCCACCGACCCACTGCAGGTTCAGGGGTGCCCTGGGTCCTTGGTGTCCAGGACCTCCAAGCTGTCTGACATCTCCTGCATCAGGGTCTCTGCGTCAGAGTCAGTGAAGTCCTCCAAGCAGTCTGACTTCTGGGGAAACTGGAGGGCGGCCGAGAGCAACAGAGAATCTGGCAAGCAGTCGTCGGGGAAGAGGAGGTCTTCCTGCAAGGCTGGGACTGGCACTGGAGCTGCAGCCCCCTGGGCGCCCTCCTGGTTGTGGCACCCAGGCTCTCCCCAGGCCTGCTGCTGGCTGGAAGCAGAGGAGAAGGTGGGCTCTGCATCGAGGAAGACCCCGGACGGCACAGGTGTGGGGTCTTGGAAACCTGCTGAAGCCTGGAGCACAGGGGCGGCCTCCGCGGCCTCCGCAGCCTCCGCAGCCTCCGCAGCATCCGCAGCATCCGCAGCCTCCGCAACCTCTGCAGCCTCTGCAGCAAGAGCTGAGAGCTCTCTGGGACCACGAAGCTTGGGCCTGCGTTGTGCTAGCTCTTCACGCTTAACCCTGGCCCGCCGGTTCTTAAACCAAACCTACAGGGACACACAGGATGGGGTGGGGCAGGCAGGGACACGGTGTCAAAAAGAGGTGCCTGGAGCACTTGCCACAGACGGGAGGAACAGGCTGGGACAGGGTCAGGGACAGGGATTAGGGTGGGGCTACCACAAGGGGCCCTGAGTGCACAGGGCGCCCTGAAGCCCTGGACACCAGTGCCCTGGGCAGATCACACTAGACTGGCAGGCACCAAGGGGACTGGGGACCAACCAGGAGCCCTCTGCCAGCCCCACACCCCTCTGCAGCTCCAGGCTGTTGTCCTGCAGCTCAGGCCACCCGAGGCAGTGTGGGTCCTCGTGAAGGGGCCACCAACCTTAATATTTTCCTCTGTTACTTTCAGCCTTTGCGCCAGCTTCGCCCTCTGCTCCGGGGTTGGATACTTCTCCTTAGCGAACAGAGCCTCCAGCTGGCTCACCTGCTCCCTGGTGTACACCGTGCGCTCCTGCCGCATCTTCTTTGGGGACTTCTTTGATACTTGGGGACTTGGGAATGCTGAAGGGCCCAAGAAACCTGGGAAATCTGTGGGGCCTGATGAGTGTCGAGCCTCTGGAGGCTGGGGAGTAACTACGGGGTCTGGGGCAAAGAAGGGGTTGTGGAGATAGGTGGGTCCTTGGAGACTCGAGGGACCTGAGACTGCTGGAGTTTCTAGGGGATATGGGGAACCTGGAGCTACCTGGAGGCTCAGGGTGCCTGAGTAAGTTCCGGGACCCAAGTTACGTGAGGCACCTAAATTACCCTTGGACCCTACAGGGCGTGAGGGCACTGGGGAAACTGGAAGATACCGGGATAGTGACTGATTTGGGAAACCTGAGAGTGAGAAAAGAAGAAGAGGAGGTCAGAGGCCTCCCACACTGTCCCCACTGCTTCCAGGACCCTCTTCTGGCCCCCCACTGAGACACAGGCAGACCAGAGAGGAGGGCAGCCCATCCCCAGCCCTGCTGGACCCCACCATTTCCATCCCCCAAGCCTCACCCTGCACCATGGTCCTTCACAGCCACATCTTCAAAGTGGGGCTGTATTTGGCTCCTACACAGCTTCCAGACCCAGGGCAGCCTGGAGGGCTCCCGCCTCCCCCCAGCTACTCAGCAGCAGCCTCCTCGGCCCCTGCCACACTCAGGGCTGCAAGGGACCCTGACACTTGCAGGATCCACCCTGCCCATCTGAGGCTCTGCTCCACACACAGCCCTGCATCCCAAGTCCCAAACCCAGGGCACTCTGCAGCCCCAGCCCCGGGGATGTGGCTCCCATACCAGCCCAGCTCCTGAGCTACAGCCCCGGCTCACCCTGGGAGTCATCAGACTGCTGCATCCTGGCTGCTGCTCTGCTCCAGCACCTGGAATCCTCCCTAGGACCTGGGTTTAAATCCCCTCTCCTGCTCTGCCTCCCACAAGACCCTCCCTCCCAGCCACCCACCTCTGCTTGGATGCCCCGCCTTTCCTTATTAAGCAACTGCTGAGCTATGGGTGGGATGCTGGGGCTGGAGACTCAGTGGCCAAGGCAGCCTTGGTGCCCTGCACAGGGGTGCAGCCCAGGGAAGTTACCCATGGGAGGCTCCATGCAGGAAGGAAATGCATCCTAGCCCCAAGGGCCTCCCCTGGCCTGGCACCCCTACTCTCCATTGCTGGAGACCCTGCCACTGTTCCCTCCTGAAGCACTAAGCTGGCTTCTGCTTTCACCAGGGTCCCTGAGTTGCCCTCTCCTGAGTCTGGCACCATCTAAAAGCCAAAGGAACTTATTTCCCCTGCTGCTCAGCAGGTCTCGAGGGTCAGGAGGCAACCAGATTGACATGCTCAGCTCCCAGGGGATTTATTATAACCAATAAAAAACTAAAATTAAATGGATCATGAAGCAAGCAGGGTGTGGTGTTTCACACCTATAATCCCAGCACCAGGGAGGCTGAGGCAGGACAATAGCTGGGAGTCCCAGGCCAGCCTGCATTACATGCTGGTTTCAAGGCCAGCCTGCCCTAGACAGCCAGAATCTGGAGGAAATAAAACCTCACAAAAAGTAACTGAACCATTCTGTGAACCTGAGTTTAAGCCCCAATTCTATGCAAGGCCCTTTCAAACACCCTCTCACCAACATGCAGCTAGAATTCTCTCTTTCCCATGAAACAATGCAATCAGCTCCACTGAAAACTGTTCTCCTGGTGGTGGGCATTGGCTGAGGGCACGAACAGAGGTTTCACCATGTCAACCTCAAACACCAGCCTATGCTCCATAATGATTTCCTCAGAAAAGAACTCAAATTCTCCTGCTCCCCTACCCACTCAGGCATGCACTTTCACCTCATCATCCTGATAAGCAGAACACTTAATTTTTTGTTTGTTTGTTTCTTGATTTTGAGACGGGGTCTGGCCATGTAGTTCAGGCCTTGAACTCACTATGGAGCCCAGAAAGGCCTAGAACTCATAGAGATCCTCCTGGCTCAGCTTCCCAAGGGCTTCGATACAGGGGCGCAACACCACACACAGGAATTTTTTTTTAGTTATATATAGAGAGAGCTGTGGTCTCATCATGTAGACCACAGAACTGACAGGTTAAGTGTTCTCAGGCACCCAGGGCCACTGTGCAGTGTGGCTCTGGCAGAGTGCATCCAGGAAGGACCTGAGTAAATATCCCGTCCAGGTACAAGGTCACCATGAGACCCCAAGCCGCAGTCCACACCTCCTAGTGAACTCATAAGCTAAAGTTTTATTTGATTTGTTTCCTTTTGTATTTTGTTTTGTGTGTTTGCTTTCTTGTTTTTGTTTCTCGAGACTACATCTCAATGGTAGCCTAAGCTGTTTTCAAACTCACAGTGATCATACTGCCCCAACTTCCCAAATACTGGAATTACAGGTATGTACCTCCATTCTTGTCATATCAGGCATTAAAAGTTTTTTCATCTGGCAAGATTGGAGTGGCCCTGTGTCCACAAAGTCTTCTGCACTATTTATCTAACAGTGTATGCTCAGGGTTCGTCACTGTCCCGTTTTGGTAATTCTTTAAAGGTTTCAAAGTTCTTATTATTCTGTGTTATGGCGGCTAATAACCAGTGATCATCAATGCATTTTTTTAATTGGTGGTGGTGTTGTTAGTTTGTTTTCTGGCTTTTTTTTTTTTTTTGTCTTTTTGAGATAATGTCTCATTATGAAGCCCAGACTGTCCTTCAGCTCACAGGAATCTTCCTTCCTCAAGCATCCAGATTGCTGGTGTTACAAGTATGCACCACCATGCCCAGCCTAGGGCTGTTACTTTAAAGCAGCACCTGGAATAAAACATTGGGCTGGGTGATGAAGGCATGTACATGGTCCTCTGGCACCAGGTAATTAACCAAACTGAGCCCACAGAGGCAAAGTTCCCAAAGCAAATTTAATTTGTTGCTGCAGTGAACACATAAGTGACGAGAAAACCAAACAACTTCCCTGCTGATCCAAAGAAAGTCTTGGAGTATGGGTAAAATCAAACAAGCAGGGTGTGGAGCTGCACACCTGTAATCCCAGCCCTCAAGAGGCTGAGGCAGGAGGATCACTGCGTGTTCAAGACCAGCCTGAGCTACAAAGTGAGACCCTGTCTAAAAAAAAATTTTTTTTAAAGAAAAAGAAATCAAACCAGACACAGCATTGATTCAGGGCAAAGGTTAACCCAAAGCAAAGGGTTAACTCTCCTCTGTTCTGGAAAGAAAACAGAGAAAGACTAGGAAAGCCTAAAGCTGGCTCCCTGACACAGGGAAGTCACGGGGCCCAGGCAGAGGCACAGCCAGTACCCCCCGCAGGTCCAGCCTGCAGCGTGGATAAGGGAGCTGCAGAATTTTAATGCGGACAAAGAGGTTTCTGCTGAAAGAGGATGACTTCAGAACTTGCGTAGCTAGGAGGGACCAAGTGGGCTTCCAAACGTGGAAGGACAGGCAGTTGTGACTCTACACACAAGGTGGTGTCCTGACTTTAACAGTCCCGGGACCCCTAAGAACTAGACTGTGTCTCTGCCGGAGCTCAGGAAAGGAAACAGCAAAGCCAGAGCGGTTTCCTGTGTTTATGCAGTGCTCTCCGGGATATTTTCAGCCCCCTGTTGAGACAAAAAAGAGATTCTTTTCTCAGCATTACTGCTTGCTACCATGGTGGAGCACACTTGTCTTCCCAGCACTCAGAAGGCTGAAGCAGGAGAATCATCGAGAGTTCAAGGCCAGCCACAGCTATGTAGTGAGACCTTGTCTTAAAACACCAAAATAATAATAATAATAATAATAATAATAATGAGAATTCAAAATTAAAAAGGACCAAGTGTTTAGCTCAGTGTTAGAGGGCTTGTTTAGAATGCTCAAGGCCTACGTTTGATATCGTAGTATTCCAAAAATAAGGAAAGAAGCCAGCCGTGCTGGTGCACATCTGTAATCCCAGTCAGGAGGCTGAGGCAAGAAAGTCGCTATGAATTCAAGGCCAGCCTGGGCTACCTAAGCAAATTTAAGGGCAGCCTGAACTACTCTCTCAAAAAGTGGGAGGAGGGGATAAGGAAAAATAGCCATAACATCCAGATAAGATTCTTCATTAACAAAAAGATTATGATCCAGCAGAGCATGGCTGTGCCTCCCAGGATCATGGAGGATTATGAATTTGAGACCAGGCTGGGCTACCTAGCCAGACCCTGCCCCCACCCCACCCCCCAAAATTATGATGCATCAAAGACTGAGATGATGATTTCCAGCTTTTTTTTCTCCCAATGAAGCACAATAGTAAATCCCCACCCCATTTTTATTTTGAGATAGCGTTTCACTAAGTTGCCCAGCCCAGCCTTGAACTTTTGATCCTCCTCCTCAAATTTAAACTTGGAGTGTTTTGCTTTGCTTTGTTTGTTTGGCTTTTGGGTTTTTTGAGATAGGATCTTACTGTGTAGTCCAGGCTGGCCTCAACCCTGTGGGGATACTCCTGCCTCAGCCTCCGCAGTGGGAGGATCACAGGTACAAACCACTGCATCCAGCTGTTTGGGCTTTTGTTCCTGTGTACAGAACAGATATTGCCTTGTACTGCTGTCCCCCTGTACCCAAAATAGGTATGCTGAAAAATAGGTAACCTGTACCCAAAATAGGTATGATTCCAGGCACTCCCAAGCTATCAGAATCCAAGGGTGTCAAGGTGAACTTGAGGAAGAAGATGGTGGAACCATGGTTTCCAAGGACTGGCGGGGACAGTGCCCAAGAAAAGCCCAAAGTTGACAGGGGGATGAGTGACAGACAGCTGGTGACTGTAGTTGACAGTGTTCTCTGGTGTATTAACATTTGCTGAGAGCACATCTTAAGTGTTCTGATCACACACAACGGCCACTGTGTGAGACAGTAGCTCACGATGCTACCGGAACACTGCGGTTGTATCCCAGGTGACAGAGAATGAAACCTCGGAGGGAGGAGGAACAGTGCCAGGAATTTATATAAAAGATTCAGAGCAGGGGGAGCTCCTGCCAGCTCAGTGGGCTCTGTGCCTGGGCTCAAAAAGTTTAAAGGGAGCCCGAGTGCTGTACGAGATGTCTTCCCCTCGGGGTCCAGGCCACACATCATCCAACTGGTACCCATGAGGGTTCCGAGCACCCTCAAGGCCACAGCGGCCTGACTGTGCTCCGGGGAGGCCCTGACAGCCAGGACCTGGAAGAGACTTCTGTGAGATCCCTTCAGGGCCTGCTCCACGGGCTCCACTGTGGGCAGCTGCCCTCTTGCCTGACAGAGCCCCGGCTCCTGGCTCACTAATTCCTCTGTAACTAGCTTGCTCGTGGTCATCATTTCACAGCAAATACATGCACGAAACATCATACCGTACTCAGAAGGCTGAAGCAGGAGAATCATAAACCCAGCCCCAGCCTGAGCAGCTTAGTCACTTAGGGAGACCCTGTCTCAAAATTTTAAAAGGGTGGGAATGTAGCTCAGTGCAAAGGCCTTGGGTACTTGGCGGGGGCGGGGGGGGGGGATGAAAAAGTATAGGAACAAGGAATTGGAGGTTAACAAAAACAAAGGTAAAATAAACCGCCTCTTAGTATCAGCATGAGGAACACAGTGGCATGATGAAGAGAGAGCCTGGCAGAGGACACATTTGGGAAGAGGGAGCCACAGCAGAAGCCTTGTGGCAGAGCATCTCCCTGGCCAGGAGGAAGAGCGTCAGGGGACTGAGGAGGGGACATAAAAGGCCGGGAAGGAGTTGGAGTCTTGCTCAATGCACCATGGAGAAGCCCTGATGGAGCCTTGGAGGCTCCCCAGCTCCACACCCTGGATCTGTCGTGGGGTTTTCTCTGAGGTCCCCAGAGAGAAAGGTCTAGAAAAGTCAGAGAAGCCAGGCAGTCTTCAGAGGCAGCTCCAAGTCTGGGTCCCTCAATGATCAGGCGACATGGTGTCCTCACATTCACCTTGTCCCTCTTCAGGACAGACGCCCAGGACTGTAACCAAATAGGATTGATTCCAGGCACTCGAAAGCTGTCAGAAGCCAAGGGCCCCCAGACCCACCTGGCCCCCTGGTTTTCCATGATGTCCTTCTGCTGATCGTACACTGTTAGTTTAGGTTTGAAGAGGTTGTTCTGGTTTTTGCTGTTGTATTTGTCTGGTTTATTTTAGTTGGTTTGGTTCAGTTTGGTTTGTTTTCGTTGCTTTCTTGTTTGTTTTTTGAGACAAGGTCCTACTATGTGATTCAAATTGGCTCTGACCTCATTAGCCTAAGCTGGCCTTGAATTTATAGCCGTCCTGGCTCAGCTTCTTGAGTGCTGGAATTACAGGTGTTTGCCACCACATCAGGCTAATGTGGTTTGATTTTGAGAAAGGTCTCACTAGGTAGTAGAGGCTGACCTCAAGCCTCTGGGCTCGGGAGATTCTCCTGCTTCAGCCTCACAAGTAATACAAACCTCAGATGCACATGGTGATAGCTACCTGCATGCTGACTTATTCATGTGGGGGTCAGTGTTATCCACTTGATGCTTGGGCCTCTGGGTTTTCCTGTCTCTGTGGAGTCTCATCTTCTTTGCTCTATTTTCTGTTCTCTTTCTCTGAAATGCATTTTCCTCCCTAAACACATCATCACTGCTAGGTATAACAGTGCCCATCTGTAATCCCGCTGCCAGGAAGCTGAGGCAGGAGAATCACGGTGGAGGATCACCAGGACCGCTCTCCTTGAAAGAAGAACATTTGGCTCCATCTTGGTTAAAACTGACCTTTATTCCCTGTACTGATATGTGCAGTGCTGGTTAGGATATTTGTTTACCCCCTCAATTGGTTTTAAGCAGTACAAATGGGTCTAGCCAGGCAGCAGGTCTCTTAACTAGTATGCTGAGCTAAGCCACGTGACTCCATGACTGAGACTGAGGCTTGAGAAAAAACTGTGATATCTCAGGGCACGAAGGTCAGACATCAAAGCTGAAGTATTGACCCCAAAACAACAAGACACTTTTTCAAACTGTGTAACCCAGATTGCTCTCTCTGCATACCTCTCTGCATTTTACAGAGGTGACTTCAGGTCCCCTACCCAGGTCAGCTCACAGCACTCAGATGCCTCCTGCCATTCGCATAATTCAGGCCCCGGATCCACTAGCCATTGTTCTGACTGAATTTAGGACCCCCTTGACTCTCCACCGTTGTAGATGTGTGTCTCTTTCTTCTCGCCATGGGTTGCCCTGGAAGTGGTAGATTGGAATTACTGATTCAAATTCCAGTAATGATTCCCTGGGATTACAGATGTGGACTCCTCCAGACCATGACAAGACCGGAAGGAGTGGGATCTCAATAGATCACTAAGAGTTTGAGGTCAGCCTGGGTTAAAAAAGAAAGAAAGAAAGAATGAATGAATGAATGAATGAATGAATGAATGAAAGCCAGGCATGGTGGTGCACACCTGTCATTCCAGCACTTGGGAGGCTGAGGCAGAAGGATCACTGTAAATCTGAGGTCAGCTTGGGCTGCAAAGTGAGCCCAAGGCCAATCTGAACTGCACAGTGAGATCCAGCCCCCCCCCCACCCGCCATGCACAAACACACAAATTGTTTTTAAATAAAAACAACACACTGGCGTCACCTGAATGTGGCCCAGGGCCATTCATTCCTCTTCTCCTGACCTGTGTTTTTCTCAGAAGTACCAGAAGCCTGGCATTCTAACCCAAGCCTTGCAAGAGCTGCCTAACCTCTCGGGTCCTCAGAGCCCTGTCTCAGTGAAAATTCCAGGAGCAAGCGCCCCAGGAAGCGAGAAGGGGGCTATCCTGAACATGGTTAGAGTGATCACGTGACATGGCTGTCCCCAGGGTGGGTGCCACCACCGGGTAACAGCTGTTGTCTCTGTGAAGCCCCTCCCCCACAGGCTCGAGTCTGAACGTAATCCTCCCTAATTCCCTGCCATTCTGCTGAGGCTGGACAGTCGTCCTAAGAGGATTGGAGAATTTGCTAAATTGGTCCTAGGCAGGGACAGAGAAAACAGCCTGGGATGGGGGTGGGGAAGGGAGAGGGTGTCCAGCCATCAGGGACAGGGGAGGTGGAAAGGGGGAAGGGGGAGAAGTTTCCTCATGTCCAGAAAGGAAGAAACGCCACACTCAAGAGGCTGAGGCAGTAGGATCTTCAGAGCACCAAGTCAGCCTGGACTACAGAGCAAGACCCTGTCTCAAACATTTAATGCAGCTGCGGAGATAACTCAACAGCACAGCGCCTGCCTGGCAATCGAGAGACCCTGAGTTCGATTCCCAGTATCAAAAAAATTTATTTTAATGGAGTAGAGAGGACAGAGGCAAGGAGACTGTGCACCCCAACAGGACGACGCTGACGCCCAGTGCCTCCCTTCCCAGCTGGGGGCCCAGGCAGGTCCTCTGCCTCATTCTCCAGCTCGCCCATCTGTGAAGCCTGCTGCAGTGCACGGTGGTGAGAACTAAGAGACAGGACCGGCCCTCAAAACAGGAGAAACCGCTCAGTGTAGCTTTTCCTTTCCTTGCTTTTTGTTTAGTTTTGTTTTGAAAAGGGGACTAAACCCAGGGCCTCTATGCGAAGCTACATCCCCAGTGCTTTTTCTTCTTTATTCTGAGACAGAGTCAGAAACTGCCCAGGCTGGTTTGAACCTTCGATCCTGCTGCCTTCAGTGTCTCAGGGGATGACAGGCAGGTGTCGGCTTCCGTGTTCCTTCCAAATGGGCTTTGAAAACACGTGGAGAAAGATGTGGAGAGAAGTCACATGGAGGAACCCAGGGCCCCCAGGACAGAGCAAGTCTTGTTTCTCCAACCACTTCTGTCCCCAAGGAAAAACACAGAAATAAAATATCACACAGACTTCCAAAGAGACTCAATGTTTTTAATCGACTTCACTGTGGGGAGTCAGGGATGGGCCTAGATGCCAGCAAGTGGCAAAGGACAGGGTGGAGGCCCTGTCGCAGACTGAGGGAGGCTTCTGGCCTCTTCCTTGGGTCCCTGGCCTTGCTGGCCCCATGGCTTTAGGAAACAGGGCCTTTGGTGGCCCCTGGACACCTCAGATGTCTGCATCTGAGGAGTCCAGCTCTGAAAAATGATCATGGGATTCCTGGATGGGATTCAATCTCTTGCCTTGTGTGACTCCTAGACGATCCTCCTGTCTCAGCCTTTCCAGCGCTAGGATCACAGGCCTGCATCACCACCCCCATTTTTGTCCCATTATATTTCACTCCCCTGTTCTACTTTCTGCCCTAGGACACTTGCTGGGCTAGCCCTGGATTCCTGGTCCCAGAGCCCAGCAGGACTCAGAGCCCTGAGATATGGACAAGTTGTGTGGTAAAGAGACTGCTGTGTCTTTGTGGACACCAACAAGCAGTGTGGCCCGGAGGGGGTCTACACTGTGAGTGCCTCTCCTGCTCTAGGGCTGGAAAACTTCTGATTCTTCCCAGCTTCCTCAGCTCTCTCCTTCCCCTGGGAGCCCAGGCCAGCTCACACTGGTTTGTCCACAAAGGCTGCCCAATTCCAGGTTCAGTGACCTGAGGTCCACAGCTGGAAATCAGCCTTGGAAACCAGCCAGCACCCCAGTCAGGGCTCCCCTCTTCCTGAGAGACCATTTATTAACCTTTTCCCACCAGGCCGGACCTTTCTGCTTTCTTCCTTTCACATCCTGCCCTGGGAAACCCATGAACCAGAGTTCTTGGCTTCCCCAATCCAAAAATGAAAGGAGAGGACAGTTGGAAGAGGCCAGGCCAAAGCACCAGACTTCTACGGTGTCAGAGCGTCACCACCCTGGCTGGGCATGGTGGTACATATGTGTAATCCCAGCATTCAGGAGGCTGAGACAGGAGGATCACTCCACGCTCAAGGCTACATAGCAAAGACACTGTCTCAAGAAAAGAAAAAGAAAAATTTTTAAATTACCTCTACCCTCCTTCAAATTCTCCCAGGGCTGAGTTCAATCTTCCCCAGTCCCACAACTAAAGCTGAAAACAAAATAAATCTACAAGAAGGAAAGTATCATTAAAGGCCAGGGCTGCTTCCAAATCCATCCCCCACTCTGTATTTCAGATGAAAATCTGCCCACCTGACCCTTTTCAATGCAACTATATTAGGGGTACCCATGCAACCACCCCAGTTCTGCCAATGTTCTGGTGAAATCTGCCTTTAGCAAATCCTGAAACAAAGGAAAAATAGTAGAGATGGAACCAGAAACCTGCCTTCCATGCCTCTACCAGAGATACCCAAAGTACTAACGGGTGAGGGAATGACCAAGTGCCTTTAAAAAGAAACTAAGGAGGAAACATACATTTACATACATGTCATGTACATATGTACATTATCAAACTGTCCCCTAAACTTGTCAGGTAAGCCTGGAATTTGCAAAATTTCAACTCATTTGTTTTGTTGTTTTTGGGGGGGGGGGTTTGGGGGGGGTAGCAATTTGGTTCTTGTTTTTGTTTTTGTTTTTGTTTTGAGACAGGGTCTGTGTAGTTCAGGCTGGCCCTGAACTCACTATGTAGCCCAAGCTGGCCTGGAACTCACAGTGACTTTCCTGCCTCAGCCTCCTGAGTGCTGGTATTACAGGTGTGTGCACCACACCCAGCTTCCTAGTGAATGTTTAAATGCACCTGTATAATTGGCCTAAGATGGAACCTCTGGAAGTCAGGGCTGGAATCTCTGTAAAGACTCTGACCACAAAAGCATCCACACAGGGAGGTAAGGAACGGAACTTCCCTGTTTGCTCAAGGGCACAGAGATTCTGACCTAAACGTTGCCCCAGTCAGTGGCAAGCTGCTTCTCCCAGATACAAAGTCTGGGGCTCAGGGTCCGGGACCCCAGCTAGGTGGGGCACTCACGCTAGGCTGAGAGCTTTGCTGAATCCTACCCAGCCCTGGAGAGGCTGCCCTGGGGTGACAGGGTGGGCTGCATGGGCTGAGACATGCCTGGACCACAGTCGGAATCCAGGCTGCCAGGAGGCCCAGAGAGGTGGAGACAGAGTCTTCTACAAGATCTGAAACTTCCAGGCACTCTGATCCTTGTAATCCAGAGGGTCCATGGGGTTGTAGGTGAATTTCCAGGTGCCCGTGGGGTCCTTGAATTCCAAGCTGTCCACGGGACTGTAGGCGCCATAGCTCTGGCCTGACAGGGATGTGGGGGACTGGGCCAGAGAGGGACCCACAGAGGGACCCGACAGGGGACTGAGCGCTGGGCCCCCCAGCTGGGGCACCATGGGAGAAAGGTAGGGGTCCAAGCCGCTGAAATAGGAGCTTGGAGAGCCATAAGCGGAGGGTGAGGAGCAAAAAGCTGAGGCGGGGGCATAGGTCATGGCATAAGGGGCAGAGCTCAAAGAGGGCCCCGAGGTCACCAGCCCGGCCCGCTGGGCCTCAGGCAAAGGGGACTCCGAGGCTGGACTCCAGATGGACACCGTGGCCACTGCGGTGGTGGGGGACCCCGAGGGGCCCGGCAGAGGGGGGCTGTAGGAATCCGAGATGCCCAGAGGGTCAGGACACACATCCGTGGAGGGTCGCGGGGAGCCACCCGCCTTCCTCTTGGCAGGACGAGCCTTGGCCTGCGCCCCCGGCGGCTGCTGCTGCTGCTGCTGCTTCTGCTGCTGCCGCTGCTGTCTGCACTTGGCCCTGCGGTTCTTGAACCAAACCTAGGGGCAAGAGCAGAAAGCCAGATAGCAAGCAGGAAGGAGGCCGGAAGAGAGATGGTGCCATCAAAGGAGGAGGCTGAGCCACGCGCGCCGCTGCTGTTCATCTAGTTGTACCACGCGTATACACCAAACGTCGCGCCCACACAAGCGACCACCCATCTCTCATGCGCTTGTGCACACAACCACACAGCCACAGCCACATGCACGTTTACCCACCCGGTCATTCACGCACTCACCCCTTCCTCCAATCACACGTGCACACGTCTCGTGTGTACTCACACATACATAAGTGCAGTCCTCTAACCAGGCACGTGTGTGCGCGCATGCGTACATGCCGTCAGTCATACACACTCACTCTGCCTTCCAGTCACACATGCACACCTTGTCAAGTGTATCCTCACCCGATCATGGAAACAGGCATCCACTCGCTCACGCGTGGGTGCATACAAACATATCCACATATGAATGTCCACCCATCATGTTTGTATTCATATGCGATCACGCACACCCGAATGGTGCAGAGGACTCGCGGTTCCTAGGAACGGATCTGCCTGAGCAGGACTGGGGTGGGCAGTAGGGAGGCGGCGAGAGGACGGGAGCAAGGGAGGCGAGTCTGGTCGCGCGCGTGGCCAGGGGCGCCCACCTGAACCCTGGACTCCGGCAGGTTGATCTTGAGCGCCACCTCCTCGCGCGCGTACACGTCCGGGTACTGGGTCTTGGCGAAGAGCGCCTCCAGCTCCTCCAGCTGGCTGCGGGTGAAGGTGGTCCGCTCCCGCCGCTGCTTCCGGGGCGCGCCTGGGGCCGGGACGGAAGCTCAGAGGCCCGCGCTGACACTGCGCCCCACGTCCCACGCCCCATCCCCGGGAACTGAGCTCTCCCTGCCTCTTCTTCCCCGGGGGAAATGCCTTTAGCCCTGAGTCCCTTGCCCCTTGCACAATTTCTTTTCCTTTTCATTTGTTTGTTTGGTTGGTTGGGTTTTGATTGTTTATTTGAGACAGAATCTCACTATGTAATCCAGGCTGAGCTTGAACGCTCAGCAATCCGCCCTCCTCAGCCTCCCAAGTGCTGGGACTGCAGATGTGCACCATCACACCTGGCTTCCCTTTCTCTCTCTCTGTCTGTTTCTCTCTTTCCTTTCTTCCTTCACAGTAGAATCTCACTGTCTCACTTAGGCTGCTCCTAAAATCCTAGGCTAAAGCAATCCTCCTGTGTCAGCCTCCCAAGTAGCTGGGACTATAGGTCCAAACCACTGCACCCAGCCCTGCTTGTAGGATTTCTAATGTCCCTTCAAATCTCTTCCCCATTAAGACATTGTGGCTGAAAGATGATTGCGGTTATTCCATTTCTACTTTGTAAAAGTGGCAAGTCTGTGCAGTTTGAATTAATGCAAAAGGAAAGAAAAGAATAGAAGTAAAGCTTTATAGCCTGGCATGGCAGTGCATGCCCATAATCATAGCTCTGGAGGGCTGAGGCAGGTTTTTAAAGTTGAATTCAGCTTGAGCAATTTAGCAATTTAGCTCTTTTATTTTTATTTATTTATTTATTTATTTATTTATTTTCCCCAGACTGAACCCAGGCCTGACCTTAGCACTGAGCTACATGCCCAGCCATTTTCATTTTAAGATACATTCTCATTAAGTTTTTCAGGTTGGGTTTGAACTGAATATCCATCCTCCTGGCTCAGCCTTCCAGAGTGCTAAAAGCACACAGGTGTGTACCAGTGCCTAATTTGATAACTTGGTGACTCAGCAACACTGTCAAAATTCTTTGTTTGTTTGTTTTTTTTGTTTATTCTGAGACAGGATCTCACTATGCAGTTCAGGCTGACCTTGAACTCACTATGTAGCCCAGGCTGGCCTCAAACTCATGACTATCCTCCTGCCTTGGCCTCCTTAGTCCTGCGTTTACAGGCATGTGCCACCGCTCCCAGCCTCAACATTCAGGAAAAAGACAAAAAAATAAAAAATTTTTAAAAAGGGCTGGAGAGGTAGCTCAGTGCAAAAGCCGTGGGTTAAATGCCCAATACAAAAAAAAAAAAGAAGTAAAGAAAGCTTTGTTAAAGGGGCATGGTAGTGTATACTTATAACCCAAGCACTTGGGGAAGTTGAGGTAGAAAGATTGCAAATTTGAGTTCAGCCTGGCCAACTTAGTGATTTAGCAAGCTCTTGTCTCAAATTTTTTATTTTTTCTAAATGTTAAGGGCTGGAGTTGCCAGGCATGGTAGCCATGCCTGTGATCCCAGTACCCAGGAGGCTGAGGCAGAAGGATTACCATGAGTTCGAGGCCATTCTAGGCTACAAAGTGAGTTCAAGGCCAGCCTGAAATGCATAATGAAACCATGTCTCAAAAAAAAAAAAAAAAAAAAAGTAATGAGGTTGTAGTTCAACACTAAGGCCCTGAGTTCAGTTCCCAGTGCCAGAAAGAGGGTTGTGGGTCACTAAGAGATAGACATTCCTCTTCGTTTGCCTTCCGGGTGGTAGCCTCCCTCCCTGACCCCAGAAGGAGGCCACCATTCCAAATTTCTAATACATATATTTGTTCGTTGAACGCAGAGTCTCACTGTATAGCCCAGGGTAACCTCAAATTCAAGGAGATCCTCCTGCCTCAGCCTTCCAAGTGCTAGGTTTATAGGTGTGCACCACCCTGCCTGGCCAGTACCATCCCTGTGTTCTCTCACCCCACTAAGGACATGCAGGCATATTTCACATTTTCAGAGGAACACAGGAGCCACTCTGTAAATGTCTTCCCCTGGTGGCAAAGACCCCAGAGGTCCCTAAGAGATGGGACCAGAGGGAAGGGCACAGGAAAGAGTAAGGCACTCACTCGGGTAGGGCACAGCCTGGTGCATCAGGTCCACGCTGGGGCCACTCAGAGCCAAGGCATTGACAGAATAGTGGGGCCCCGGGTTCATATACGCCATCATGATCTTCAGCGACTCAGGGCCCGAATCAAGGGCCTGCAAGAGAAAGGGGGTGTCAGACACTCAACAACTATTCACTGTTGGTGACAAACAGGTGGGCTCAGCTCTAGGATCTCAGTACACAGTGCAGGCTGGCCTTGAACTCACTATGTAGCCCAGCCTGGCTTTGAACTCGTGGCGATCCTCCTGCCTCAGCCTCCAGAGTGCTGGGATCCCTGGCATGCACCAATGGCCCTTGCTTGATGTTATGGCCATTTCATTACAAATGTAAACCAGAAAGTCAGAGCCACTGTGGGGAGAAGCCTTTATTCTTGCTCCATCCTGTAAAAGATCTGAGCGGTCCCAGTGCAGAGGCACCGGCTGCCATCCTGGCATCTGGGGAAGTTGAAGCAAGAGAGTCAAAAGTTCAAGCCCAACCTGGGCAACTGAGAGACTTAATGAGACCCTGTCTCACAATAAAAATATTTTACAAGGGCTCCTTTAATATCAATGCTGGTCAGGATCGCAGGTCACTCTAAGGAACATTAGCACTAAAATGACAGGAAGCTGTGGTGTGGCTCAGTGGTAGAGCAACCTGCCTGCTGTGCATGAGACCCTCAACTCCAGCTCCAGCACCGTGAAAGAAGAAAACCGGGCTCAGTGAGCCACGATCTTCTGGGATCTGTCCTGACCACCCGAGCAGAAGACATGGGTGCCACAGACCAGAATACACTGGACATGTGTGTCCCAGAAAATCTCCACCTTCCCTCAATCCCCGCAATCTGCCCTCAGTGTGCACCTCAGTCATCTGATCACAAACTGGGAAATGCACGAGGGGCTTTAAATAGTACCCAAGCCCAGTGTGGTGGCAAATGCCAGTAACCCTGGTACTTTGGAGGCTAAGGCAGGAAGATCGCCATGAATGTGAGGCCAGCCTGGGGTACATAGTGAGACCCTGTCTCAAAAAACAAAAACAGGGGCTGGGGATTTAGCTCGGCGGCATAAGCACCTGCCTTGCAAGCGCATGGTCATGAGTTCGACCGCCCGTACTGATTTAAAAAAAAAAAAACTTAAGACAAGGCCTTGTCCTGTGTCAGCCTGTGGATTACTGGGCCTTCAGGCACACCACCACCGCTGCCTGTCTCTAGGATGCTTTGTTTTGCTCTGCTCTGCTCTGTTTTGACAATCATACTATGTAATCCATTCTGGCCTTGAATTGAAAACAATCCTCCTGCCTCAGCTTTCTGAGGGCTAAGATTAAGCCTGCACCATTCCCAGTGGTTGCTAGGGTTTTTAAGGCATCATATTTACAAACACCAACATGGGAGCAGCCCACCAGTCCCCACTGAAAGGCTACATCAACTAAATAATGCCACTCCAGCAAACCATGCCCATCTATGAAGGGAGAACTACAAATCAGTCAAAGCATAAGGCTGCTGTCTGTGAGCAGATCCCAAAAGCCTTGTAGCACGCACTGTCTCTTCACCATTCCTAAAATGAGGAAAATGATCGTTTCTGTTTTGAAGCAACTGTTTGCTTTCGGTTTCTGTCTGGGTTTTGGTCTTGGTTTTCTCCACCTGGTATCAGGAATCGAACTCAGGACCTCACACTTGCCAGGTAGGTGCTGTGCCACTGAGCTATATCTCTGGCCCCTGTCTGGTTTGTTTCGATTTGGTTTTAATTCTGTGGTACTGAGAACTAAACTTACTGTGTGGCCCAGTCCTGCTGCTTCAGCCTCCCAAATGCTGGAATTGCCAGCATGCACTGTCCCACTTGGCTTGTTTTGTTTTGTTTTTATTTGATTTTTCTTTTTTTTGAGGCAAGGCCTCACTGTGTAGCCCAAACTGGCCTCAAACTCAAGACTCTTTCCCTGTCTCAGCCTCCCGAGTGCTGGGATTACAGACGTGTGCCACCATCCCTAGTTTTAATTTGCTCTTGAGACAGGGGTCTCACTGTGTTGTCATGTCTGGTCTTGAACTTGTGAGTTCAAATGATCTTCCTGCCTCAGCCTTGCAAGTAGCTGGGAGTAGAGGCATGAGCCACCATGCCTGGCTTTTACATGGATACTTCCGAAAGCTGGGTTACATGTGATTTCTCTCTGGTAGAAAGAGAATCTCAGCTGGATGTGATGGTGCCCACCTATAATTCCAGCACTCTGGAGGCTGAGGCAGGAGAATGGAGAGTTCAAAGCCAACCTGGGCTACACAGCAAGACCCTGGCTCAAAGCGAGAGATGTAGGGGTGGAGGGAGAAGGGAGGGGACTTCCGGGTTGCAGTTTTATTTCCATGAAGATCTTTAACCAGCTTCGTATCTAGCCAGGCAGCCCTTTTTCCTGCCCCTTCCCTGAGTCAGTGGACTAATTTCTGTTCCCCTGGTTTCCCTTTACCATAGCTACTTAGCTCATCAGAGACTCAACCCTTTGAACTGTGCTTATTATACATGTGTTTGTTTGGTGGTTGGTGGTATAGAGAACTGAACCCAGGGCCTTTGCACTGAGCCACATCCCCAGCCCTGCTTCATTTGGAGAGCTGAGCATGGAGGCACACTCGTGAGGCTGAGGCAGGGGGCTCACAGAGCTCAAGGCCAGCCTTGGTCCATAGAGTGAGTTGAAGCCCAGCCTGAACTACAGTGAGACCCTGCCTCCAGAAGCAAAAGGGTCTCGCTGTGCAGTTCAAGCTGGACTCAACTCACTTTGTAGCCCAGGTGGGTCTCAAACTTGCAATGATCCTCCTGTCTCAGCCTACCGAGTGCTGGGATTACAGACGAAAATTTAAAATTTAATTTTTAATTTAGAAATTTTATTTTGATTGTAGGTGTTCCTCATCTCATGACCTACCTGTTTAACAGCTGTTTGGACTTGGACCAAGGCATGTGGTTCAGACTTACAACATGTCTTTTTTTTTTTTTTTTGGTACAGTTCTGTACAACTTGTTTATTGAGCCTCAGTGTCTTTTATTAGTATGGCACGCCTTCTTTGTATAGAATAGTAATTTTTGCTGGCTGAACTGTACAGTACAGCATTGTAGTTTTATGTTATTATAGAGTACTGCATGGTAAGCATTAGAGAAATAAAATCAAAGTCTTCAGTTTGGAGTTTCCTTTGACCATATCTTTGTTCTTTGACTACTTCATTTCTATGCTAGTAGAGTACATACTATGTACTCCTCATTTAGAGATTAATTCATTTAACCATCGAATGGTGGTAACGGATCTTGGTTGTTAAATGAGGAGCATCTTTTGTCTTCAGATGGGGGGTCCCTATGTGGTCTAAGCTGGGCTTGAATTCACAGCAATACTCCTGCTTCAGCCTCCCAAGTGGGGAGCATGTGTGTATCAAGGACAGGAGTGTGTGTTTTTTAATTTTAAACATAATTTTTGGGGGCTGGGGATTTAGCTCGGCAGCACAAGTGCCTGCCTGGCAAGTGAAAGGTCATGAGTTTGATTCCCAGTATCAAAATAAATAAATCATATATATATATATATATGTGTATGTGTGTTCCATGTGAAGAGAGACCTATTTCCAGTAGATCAATGAACCATCTCTTGTAGACATACTTGTTGAAAATAAAGTTTTCTCTTTGATTTCAAGAATAACAAAAAATAAAAAATAAAAATAAATTTCCTAAACACACTTTGGCAATACATGCATATAGCTGTTATCATATATGATCAAATTATATATATATATATTATAAAGCTTATTTATAGCATGTATTTAGTATATTTATCATTGCAAGCATTTAATATCATTATTCTTTATAAATTTGATAAATTTAAAATATTTATTATGGCTGGGCAGGGTAGCACAGGCCTAGGGCTCCACATTGAGTTCAAAGTCAGCCTGAATTACATAGTGAGACCTTGTCTCAAACAACAAAAAAAAAGCAAGTCAAACCAAATCAAATCAAAATAGTGGCACCCAAGCTCGATCCCAGCATCCAGGAGGCTGAGGCAGGAGCATCACCACAAGTTCAAGGCCAGCCTGAACTACACAGGCAAGACCCCATCTAAAACAAACAAACAAACGAAAAACAGACAGGCCCATAACATCTCCAGAAGCAAGCTGGGGATTTAGCTCAGTGGCACAAGTGTCTGCCTGGCAAGTGCAAGGTTCTGAGTTCGATCCAAATCTAAAATCTCCAGAAAGCAAACAAAATATAAAACTCTGGTGAGCCTCGGTTCTTGCCCCCCTTCTCCCTCCTCCTGCTCTCAGCTGAGGCCTCGCCCCCCAGGGGAGCCACAGCCACCTGGAGTGGTTTCTCCCTTGTCTCTCCTGGCCTTTAGGGCACAGCGTTTCTTCTTTTGTCGAGTTTTGTTTTGTCTTGGCTTGTTTGTTTTGTTACTGGGAATTGAACCCAAGGTTTTCACACTGAGCCACATCCCCAGCCCCTACTTTTTAGAAACTTCTTTTCATTTGGAGACAAGTTCTCCCTAAACTGCTAAACTCCGGAGGCGGGGCTCCACCTTCCAGTCCTCCTGCCTCAGCCGCCCAAGTGCTGGAATTACAGGCCTGCACCACCGCACCTGGCATGACCTGCTTTTGTTACAGAGTTTCTGCTGCTCACATGGTGAATGTCACTTTGTTTTGCTTTTTTGAGATAAGATTTGCTGTGTAGTTGTGGCTGGCCTTGAACTCACTGTGTAACCCAGGCTGGCCTTGAACTCAGGGCAGTCCTCCTGCCTCACAAGCATGGAGGGAGCGTGAAGCCCAGCACGGAGGGGCTGATATGGTGTAGGGAACATGGGCAGCACACAGGGCCGAGGGTTTCACAGCTACAGCAAGAAGGCAAACAAAGACGCCTTCAGAGAGTTCAAAGAACCAGGAGAAAAATAAGACAGGGTTGGCAATAGTAATGGAGTTGGCTGACGAGGAGGGTCCTGGTTAAGCTGCGTATGAACCAGGGCAGACACCTCGAGGCCCAGGAACCGCAGGCACAGTGGCACCTGTAGTCCTGGCTACTTGGGAGGCAGAGGCAGGAAGGTAATTTGAGTCCAAAAGTCTGAGACTAGCCCAAGCAATGTAGGGAGACCACATCGTGAAAATCACAATCATAGTACATAAAAGCAGCATTATCAGGACACAAAGGCACACACCAGTAATGCCAGCACTGTGGGAGGCTGAGGCAGGAGAATTGCAAGTTCAAGCCCACCTCTGCAACTGAGCAATTTATGAGACCATGTCTCAAAACAAAAAAGTAGAAAGGACGGGGTGTAACCCATTAGGAAAGCCTCAGCTCAATCTCACCCAAAACACCAACCAACAAAACACCGTATGTGATCATTTTGCACCGGTTTGCAGTGCTGAGCTTGGAGAATTTTGTTACATAGCAATAGAGAGCTAATACACAACCCTTCTCTATGCAGGTCCTCTCAATGCAGGCCCTGGGTCGTCAGCACAACCTTGGGAAGTGGAGACTACATTACTAGGCTCCTTTTTCTTTTTTGTTTTTTGAGAGTCTCATGATGTAGCCCAGGCTGGCCTCAAACTGAAAGATCCTCCTGCCTCAGCCTGCTGAGTGCTAGGACAAAAGCCATGAATTATTTTCCAGGAAAGCTCAAAATCCTGAGCCCAGGACAAGTCCAGGCCGAGTCCATACTGCAGGAGAGAATCCAGTCGGGAAAAATGGTGCTTGTCTGAAATGGAGTAGCTGCCAATGAGGGTGGCTTTGGGGCTTGGTTTATCTATGCATTAGGCACCCACTGAGACAGCAACCAAGACACAGTGACAACAGAAGTTACCCAGAGCTAACAATGACCCTTTCTCGAGGCTTGGTAACAAGGGACACAATGACCTCTCACTGCCCTTAGGAATCAACACAGAAGCTGACACCAATCCCTGCTCCAGTGAATCATGAGAACCATGCTTCATGGACCAAAAGGGAGGAGCAAGGAACACCTGGGTCCCACCCCCTCAGCGGGTCCCTAAGCCCCTGAAGCCTGAGACGGGGATATTCCTGTCTAGGGTGGAGGACGCAGCCCCAGAGTGGGAAAGGACATACTCTGAGCAGGCAGCTCAGGACAAAGAGGCCCCGGGTTCCCAGCTGCACCCAGAGCCACAGAGACACAGAAACACCCTACAGGCAGCTCCTAACAACACCCCTTCCTGGGAGGGAAACTGAGGCTCAGACAGGCCATGTGAAGGACCCAAGGCCAACACAGTGACAGGAAGATAAAGCTTAATCCTGGATTTTTGAAGCACCACCTCAGCCCTTGGCCCAACTGTCTCCAGTGGCAGCCACTTCAAAACCTACCTCAGAGCTGAATGTGGTGGTCCCTGCCTATAATCCCAGGATTTAGGAGGCTGAGGTAGGAAGATCCCAAATTAGAGCCCAGCCTGGGTGATTTATCAATTTAACAAGATGATCTCAAACTAAAGACTAAAAGAGGCTGGGAGTGGTGTAGCACAGTGCAAGGTCCTGGCTTCCAGACCTGGTACCAGAAAAGAAGTTTCCTGTTCAGCTCCTGCTGCCTCCCCATGGCCCTCATGGCTTTTGGGGAAGAGCAGGAGGTGCTGGCCGCTGTCTGTCTATGCTGCCCAGAGTGACACATGGGGAAACCAGAGCCAGCAGGGTACAGCAAGGCCCCCAGTAACCTGTTCACCAGCCCTGTGATCCCCAAATCATTCCAGCCCCAGCCCCAGCCCCAGGGTTGCACCCCAATTTTTGTTGCTCAGCACTGTCCCCTCGATCCTTTCTGTCTGTGTCCCTTTGATTCTGTGTCTGCCACTAATTCATCCTCAGTCTGCTCTGCAGAGACTGGGGACTCAGGCAAAGCCCCAGGACCACCCAGCTTCTGGCCTCCCACTGTCCCTGCCAACCCTCCCGCAGACACGTACCTTTCAAGTGACAGAGGGACAGGGCTCTCCTGGTGGCCCAGGTCCTCACAGAGTCATCAGCCAGCAGAGGCTGAGGGAAACAGGTCCCCTGGCAAGGGGTGATTTTAAGCCCCAGCTGCGGTGATGTCACCACGGTGGCCTGGATCCGGAGGGTAATCCCGGCCCAGTTAGGGGCCCTGCTGGACACAGGAGGTGACATTGGCTGGGGGGGGCGCCCATCTGCTTAATCCCCTCTCCCCTCCGCCGTGACATGGTAGCGATTAGGGCTGCTGGGGAAGGGCCGCCACCTGTCAGGGAAGTCCTTCCTCAGGTCTCACTGCTGTCCCTGCAGCCTCGCCACTGTTCCCAGAGACAGCGGGGGAGGAGGCATAGTGGTCCTAAGGTTGCTAGAGAAACAAGGGGAACAGAGCTCTCTGGGTCCCGCTCTGCCCTCAGCTGTGCCAAATGGTGGTCTCTGTGCCACTTGGCTGTTCTCACTTTCTGTTTTTCTGTTTGCTTGGTCTCACCTCCCTGTCTCTAAGACAAATACAGTCTTCACCTCCTCTCTCTCTCTCTCTCTCTCTCTCTCTCTCTCTCTCTCTCTCTCTCACACACACACACACACACACTGATCTCTGTTTTGGGTCTCTGTGCCTCAGTTTATCTTTCCTGTGTGTCTCAGGCTCTGTCCTCTGTGCCTGGCCCTCTCGTGCCTCAGTTTCTCTTTCTTGTGGGTCTCAGGCTCCGTCCTCTGTGCCTGGCCCTCTCGTGCCTCAGTTTCTCTTTCTTGTGGGTCTCAGGCTCTGTCCTCTGTGCCTGGCCCTCTCATGCCTCAGTTTCTCTTTCTTGTGCGGCTCAGGCTCCGTCCTCTGTGCTGGCCCTCTCTGTTTTACCGATTCGCATTCATCACCATCTCGGTCTCTCTCTCCCTGTCCCATCCCTGTGTCCCCTCTGACTCTGAACCTCTGTCTCTCTGCACCCCTGTCCCTCTACCTGCGTCCCTCCTGTTGGGTCCTGCCCCGCTGTCCTCCTGTGTGTCCAACACTGTCGGGAGTGGGTGCTCTCCCCACCACTCCACACATACTCCCCACCCTGGGCTGGCCAGGTCACCAGTTCCCCACAAGGCCCTTCCTTCCCCTTCCTTCCCCACCCATGCAGGGGGATTAAGGCCGCAGCCGCCTGCCGGGTGGATCAGCGCAGGTCTCATTAGCGTGAAGGGCCAGGGTGACAGACAGCAAGAGGGCAGGGGCCCTGTGGCCTGCGGTGACCAGCAAGGCCTGGGGAGCAGGGCAGGAAGATGGAAGACGGCTGGACAAGAGGGCAAATGGTCTAAGATGACCCATCATCCTTGAATTTTGCTACTGGTTAGTTCTGGGGCCCAAGGTCCCCCAGGATTGGGGGACTTGAGAGAGTTGGTGGGTTCCCCTGGGGTCGATTAGGCTACTCCATATCAGGGGCTTCCTCTTTTAAGCTGGGTCTGCTGGAGAAACTGACTCTTTTTTTTCCTTTTCTTTCTTCTTTTTTATTTTTTGTTATAGTTTTTGGTGTTATAGTTTTCTTTGGCAAGGGATGAGGGGTAGAGGAGGTAGAGGAAGATTGGGACCAGGTCTCACTATGCAGCCCAGGCCGGCCTCAAATACACAGGGATCCTCCTGCCTCAGCCTCTCAAGTGCTGGGATTACAAGCATGCACCTCCACTGCAGGCCAGAAATTTGCTTCCTTTTTCATCTCCACTCAGTGGCTCCAGTAGAAATCAAGGTTCTCAGCCTCAGGCCCAGCCCCTTTTTCCCCTCACTCCCCCCAATCTGTCTAATCCACCCATAAATCCAGCCGTCTCCTCCTGTATATAATTATCCAAGGGAAACCACACAGCACTGTTCAGAGACACTGAAGAGGCCCCAGCTCCGAGGTGAACCGATTCGTGTCCCTGGATAACAAGTTCAGTGCTGCCACAACACCAGCCCTCAAAGGAACCTGTGCTCTCGCTGCCACTCCAGCCACCATCCCGTCCAGGCACAACCATCCCCATACTGGGAGGCTAAGGCAGAAGGGTGCAGGTCTGAGCCCAGTCTGGGCCACGTAGTGAGCACCAATTTTTTTTTTTTTTTCTTCTTTGAAACAGGGTCTCACTACATGGCCCAGGCTGGGCTTGAACTCAAGATCCTCCCGCCTCAGCCTCCCAAGTGCTGGGGTTACAGGCCCGTGCCTCCACACACAGCCCAACAATTTTAAAAAGTAAAAAATTAAAAACAGTAAGCACAAGATGATTCTGAAATTTTGGTGGAAACACAGAGGGTTTAGAATCATGGAACCAGTCTCGAGAAAGGAGCCATGGGGAACGGACACTACCAGGCTGGTTGATCAAGGAGGTGTGAGACTGCTTAAGGGTGAGCAAAGAGGCTGAACAGGCAGCTCAGACTCTTACGTCCAACTGAATTAGTGCACAGCGACAGACAGCAGGGCAGTGACAGAGGTGGCAGGACATTAGAGGGCCACGATACCGAAGTGGACCCAGCAGAGTTATAAACACGGGGGAAATATGTATTTACTCGGTGACTGAATGAAGAAAGAGACACAAAAGAGGGTCTTAAGGTTGTTAAGGAACACCAAGTGTCAGGTGTAGTGGTCACACCTGCAATCTGGCACTCTGGGAAGCTGAGGCAGGAGGATTGCAAGTTCCAGGCCAGCCTGGTCCCCTCCAGGTCTCCAGCCCAAGCCTTGCAGTATTACTGCACTGCCGCCCTGCTTTAGAGCCTTGCTCTCCAGGATTTTCTCATTTTCTTCACGGGATCTTCCTGTCTCAGCCTCATGAGTACTGGGAATACCAGGGTGTGCTACCACAATCAGCTCCTGCAGATGAATTTGCAAATACAGAATCTAGAAATGAGGATGGAGATGTTTTTTTATCTTTTTTTTTTTTTTTTTTTTTTTTTTTTTTTTTTGGTCTTTTCGTTTTTATCGGTACCAGGGATCGAACTCACGACTGCCTGCTTGCAAGGCAGGCGCTTATGCCGCTGAGCTAAATCCCCAGCCCCGAGGATGGAGATAATGCAAAAAGAGAGAACCCTGGTCAGGACATAGCTCAGTGGCACAGGTGCCTGCCTGGCAAGTGCAAGGTCTTGAGTTTGATTCCCAGTACAAAAAAAATAGAGAGAGACAGAGAGACAAAAAAACCCAGAACAGAGAAACAGTTGGGCCAAATGACTCCAAAAGACCCAGCTCACTCTCTCCTCCCCTCTGCCCTACATTTCCTCCAAACCCAAATTTGAGCCCCCTTTGAGACATGATCCACGCCCTAGGGCCCTCCTGGGACACTGGGTCAGCCTCCTTGGAAAGCCAGAGCCACACCCTGCACCAGGAGGGGCAAGAAATAGCCTCTGTCCCTCTACTGGCCAAATCACGGCGCATAGTCAGGAGTTTGATACACCTGTACCCCAGCACCCAGGAGGCTGAGACAAGAGAGTCAAATTCAAGGCCAGCCTAGGATAGAATAAAAATCACAACTATCAACAATGTTTTTCATTTGTTTGTTTGTTTTTAGTCTTTTTGAGACAGAGTTGCACTGTCCAATTCAAGCAGGTTTTGAACTCACTATGTAGCCCAGGCTGCCCTTGAGCTTACAATGATCCTCCTGCCTCAGCCTCCCAAGTGCTAGGATTACAGGGGTGTGTTATCACACGTGGCTGCAGCTCAAAACCAAATAAAAGGATTAACCAGGGATTTAGCTCAGTGGCACAAGCGCCTGCCTGGCAAGCGCAAGGTCATGAGTTTGAGCCCAGTACCAAATTTAAAAAAAAAAAAAAAAGGATTGATCCCTTCTAAGGAATGCTTTCCCACCAATTTTTCACCTGTGTGTCTTGCTAAGGGGATCCCAGCCCCAGAAGCCTCTCCTGTGCCTGGGAATCTGGGGTTTGAAGGGAGATGAACCTCCAATATCTCTCCCTCCCCCCAAAACCCTGAGAGAAACTTAGATTCCCTCAGGAATCCCCCTATGGTTTCCACCATCATGAGAAGAACAAGAGAAAGAAGGCACAGATGGTTGGGGGCCTCCAAAGCCCCTTTTCCTTGATCCTTTTCTTGTAAATCAAACAAATAAAAAAATTAAAGTTAGCAGGAAACGAAAAGAGTTTGCCTCAAAATTTCCAAATAATTAATTTTGCTGCCTGTCTATTGTTTTGTTTGAGGGAGTGCTGTTTTGGGGAGATATTTTCTGTTTATTTTTGTCTTTTTGTTTTGCTTATATGTTTTTATATTTTGACTTTGAGTCAGGGTCTCCATAAATAGCCAGGCTTGGCTCCAACTTGGGAGCTTCCTGTCTCAGCCTCCCAGAGTGCTGGTGTTGTTAAATATGTTTTGTATGGGGCTAGGGATTTAGCTCAGCAGCATAAGCACCTGCCTTGCAAGCAGGCGGTCGTGAGTTCAATCCCCAGTACCGATAAAAAGGGGAAAAAAAGTATGTTTTGTATGTGGCTGAGGATTTAGCTCAGCAGTGTAAGCACCTGCCTGGGCAGTGCGAGGTCATAAGTTTGATCCCCTGGACAAAAAAAAAAAAATAGATAGATAGATAGATAGATAGATAGATAGATAGATGTTCTGTATGTGTGGGTAATGTTACATGCGATTGGTAAATGCATGTATTCTTCAAAATAAAAAATATTCCTGAGTCACATTTGTGGAAAAACTGCAAACTCAGTTATTTAACACAGCCTTAGAAATTTTGAGCTTTTCCCTTGCAAATAATAGAGCTGAGCAGGCAAAAGAACAAAAGCCTAACAAAGTGTCTGCAGGCGAGGCACAGTTATTTCACCAAAAAGGAAGGCAGATAGCCACCAAATAAATGAAGCAAAAAGTACATTAAAAATTATTAGCTGTGGCCAGGCATGGTGACCCAGCATTTCAGAAGCTGAGACAAAAGAACTAAAAGTCAAAGGTCACTCTGGATTATATATTAAACCCACCTCAAAAAAAAAAAAAACTGTAATCAGTTATAAGTGATAATCAGTTGTTACTAACAGTTCTATTCTTCATTTTTTAACTATGACAGCATTCTGAGCTGGATGTGGTGGTGCACACCAGTAATCCCAGCACTTGAGAGGCTGAGGCAGGAGGATCACTGCAAGTTCCAGGCCAGCCTGGGCTACAAAGCGAATTCAAAGTCAGCCTGAACTCCATGCAAAAAACCCTGCCTCAGAAAACAAAATAAATGAATAAATAAGTAAGCATTTCATAGTCTGAAGTCTCCATAAATTATTTAACCGTCTTTGCCTTTAGACTGGGTCTCGATTTACAGCGCACACAGCTCTAACCCTTGACAAACACAAGTCAGGGAGCAAACACAGGGTCCTTGGTGAAAGCAGAAGCTGGCTCAGTGCCTCGGAGGGGATGGCAGCAGGGTCCCCAGCAGTGGAGAGCAGAAGTGCCCGGCCTGGGGAGAATGAGGAGGCCCCTGGGGCTGGGATGTACTTCCTTTCGGCACGGGGACCCCCATGGGTAACTTCCCTGGGCTGCACCCCTGTGCAGAGCACCAAGGCTGCCTTGGTCACTGAGTCTCCAGCCCCAGGCATCTACCTGGCCCTCAGTAGCTGCTCAGTTAGGAAGGGCGGGGTATCCAGGCAGAGGTGGGTGGGGAGGTGGGCGGGCAGGGTGGGTGAGTGGGGAGGGAGGGTCGTGGTGGGGGCAGAGCAGCAGAGGGGATTTAAACCCAGGACCTGGGGATGATTCCAGGTGCTGGAGCAGAGCAGCAGCCAGGATGCAGCAGTCTGATGACTCCCAGGGTGAGCCGGGGCTGTAGCTCAGGAGCTGGGCTGGTGTGGGAGCCACATCCCCGGGGCTGGGGCTGCAGAGTGCCCTGGGTTTGGGACTTGGGATGCAGGGCTGTGTGTGGAGCAGAGCCTCAGGTGGGCAGGGTGGGTCCTGTAAGTGTCAGGGTCCCTTGCAGCCCTGAGTGTGGCAGGGGCCGAGGAGGCTGCTGCTGAGTGGCTAGGGGGAGGCGGGAGCCCTCCAGGCTGCCCTGGGTCTGGAAGCTGTGTAGGAGCCAAGTACAGCCCCACTTCCAAGAAGTGGCCATGAAGGACCAACGCGCAGGGCATGGCATGGGAAGTAGAGATCGTGAGGTCCAGCAGGCTGGTCGGGTGCCACCTCTGCCCTCTGCCTGGGCTGCCTGCTCTCAGGCCTAGGTGCTGTGTGGACCACATGGGCCCATAGGTTCAGGTAAATTTGGTGTCAGTGACCAGATCAAGGAGGGCATATATTTGAGTAAAAGGCAAAAGGATTTATTCAAAGCCAGCTCCACAGACAGAGAGGCCTCATTTACTTCCAATCATTATGTCCTGTGTACACTGGGGACAGGCCCAGTCCGGAGCCGCGGGCAGATGGCCCAGGGTCAGTGCAGCCCTCCACTCCAGTCCATCAGCTTCCTTCTCTCTTTCTTTCTTTCTCACTGGTGTTTGGCCTTGTTTGACTTGGTTTGTTTTTTCAAGACAGGGACTTCCTATGTAGCCCAGGCTGGCCTTGAACTGATGGTGATCTTCCTGCCTCAGCTTCCCAAGTAGTTACTGATCTCATTCTTGTGGAAAGGACACTGGGTGCCTGTCTGGGACCAATATCTGCACATTGCATGCACACTTCTGGGCTGAGATGAGGTGGGGAGTCATTCATGGGCTAACCCTGGGGGAGACACTCATCTCTAAAGGCAAAAAAAAAAAAAATCTAGATTTTTTTGTTGTTGTTTTAAGACAGGGTCTCAGTCTACATTTCAGACAGGCCTTGAACTCTTGGCTATCCTCCTGCCTCAGCCCCACAGAGCTAGGCTACCACACCCAGCAAATGTAGTTTTTAAAATTCCATTTTGAGCCGGGTATGGTGACTCATGCCTGTAATCTCAGCACTCAGGAGACTAAGGCAGGAGGATCGTTTCCAGTTCGAGACCAGCCTGGGCTACAAAGTGAGCTCAAGGCCAGCCTGAACTGCATAGTGAGACCCCGTCTCAAAAAGACAAAAAATAAATAAATAAAATTTCATTTTGGCCTGATGTGGTATACGTGTGTTATCCCAGTCCTCGGGAGGCTGAAGCAGGAGGGTTGCAAAGTGTAAGGCCAGACTGGACTACATAGAGCCCCTGTCTCCAAAAGGAAAACGAGGAAAACAAAGTCCTTTTCACAGGGCTGGCTGTGCCCTTGCTGGCGTCGATGGGGCATCTCTGACCTGTTTACTTCCTTCTCTGTCTCTTCCACCCCCCAGACCCTACAGCCAAGATCTACAGCGAGGACCAGCATAGGGCGCTGGAGACGCATTTCAGAATGGACAGGTACCCCTCTCCAGAGGCCCAGAAGGCCCTGGCCGCCAGGCTCAACCTGAAGCGTTCCCAGGTGGAGGTGAGACCCTCCTCTCCCGCCCTTGTCACCCCATCTTTTTGTTTTAGTTTGTTTCTGTTCGGTTTGGTTGTTGATTGCTATGATTTTCTGAGATGGGGTCTCACTGGGTAATTCAAGCTGGCCCAGCAGGCCCCAAACTCACTACACTCCTCCGGCCTCTAAAACAAACCAAAAGGAAATACAGCACACTAAATCCAGGCACCTGGGCCTCTCCTCCTCTCCTGGCCTTTAACTGGTTCTGGCATAGAGACAGAGGCTTGGGGTCCCCCTGCTCCCTCCCTATGAATTCCTTTCCTCCATGGTCTCTTTGTCCCCCAGATGTGGTTCCACAGACGCCGGGCCACCTCAAAGCAGCCTAAGCCTGTGCCACAGGTGCAGCGTCTACAAGGTCTACGCCCGCTGCCGCCCCCCACAGAGAGCACCCACTTCCTCCTCAGCTGCGGGCCCCCCGCCTGCCCAGCTCCTGACCTACACAAGGAGTCTGAGCCTGAGCTCGAGGCCCAGAGGAGCCCTGGGGCCACACCCAACCTGGATGCCCCAGAGGCCGGGGGCACCTCCAAGACGCTGCCCTTCTCCACCAGGACACCCGCAGTCCAGGAGGATGGAAGTCCCGAGGACCAGAACAAATCAGGCCCGCCTGGGCTGGACTCTAACTCATGATCCTCCTGCCTCGGCCTCCCTCAGTGCTGGGTTTGCAGTCGTGTGCCACCTCACTTGGCTCTTGTCTTAGTATATTTTTAATTTGGATATGAGGTCTTGCCAAAATGCCTGCCCTGCTCAAATGTACAGTCCTTCTGGCTGGCTGCTCAGAGTTGCTGAGATTGTCAGCCTATGCCACCATGACTGGCCCTTGTTTATTTTTAAACTGAGCCTCAATAAATTTCCCAGCCTACATTTTGTGATCCTCCTGCCTCAGCCTTCCCAGTGCTGGCATTACAGGCATGCACCACCATGCCCAGCCAGTGCTTTTGTCTTTTTCCTCTTGTCTAAGAACTGTTCCTCACATGACTGTCCTGTAATCTCTGTGGTACACCTGTCACCAGAAGGCTGCCCTGCAGATAGACTTCGTGTGGTGTAGGGTAGGGATTCCGTGGATTTCCACCTGAGGACCCTTAATTATTTTGCCACAAAACGAAGCTCCCTCCAGGTAGGAGTCTGTCTGCAGTCTGCTTCAGGTCCATGGCATCTCCGGTGTACCACACTGCCCCTTCCCTCCATCCCATCCTCCGCCCCTTGCCTGCTTGTGGCCGCCCTGGCCCACGTCTCCCCACAGCTGGTCTGACCCTGTCCTGGTCCCCATTTAGCAAATGCTCCAATCCGCTTAGGGCCGCCAGCCTCAGCAGACACTGGAGAATTAGTGGGGATTTAGAGGACACGTGACGGGCGGGCCAACGCTGGGGGCAACGGTGCCCCATGCCTGCTGTGGACCTTCCACTTACCCAGAGGACCCAGCAGACAGAAAAACAGGGAGAAACTGAGGTACAGGGGTTTCTTCACTCTCAAGGTCAGAGCAGCCAGGACTCCCTGGCACATGTCACCTCCCTGTGACAGTGGGTGTCCTGTGGACTTTCAAGGTCCTGTAGCCTTCAGCCCTCTCTGAAGGGCTCCAGCAAGTGTGAAAGTGCCATCCGCAGGGCACAGTGACTGCCCAGTGTGTACACGGCTGGGCATGGTGCAACTTGTAGCCTACGGCCTTCAAACAGGGAGCAGGAGCTTCTCGGCCACGCCCTGTCCACATCCAGCTCAGCCTGACCAGCAGGGCCCTTCAGAAGATGCACAGCCTGAGATAACATTTTGTGGTTTTTTGGGGGTTTTTTAATTATTGTTTTGTTTGAAATAGAATCTCTGTCTCAGGGGCTGGGGATTTAGCTCAGTGGCATAAGCGCCTGCCTTGCAAGTGTTCAGTCATGAGTTCGATCCCTGGTACCGAGAAAAAACAAAAAAGACAAAAAAAAAAAAAAGAATCTCTGTCTCTAAGGCTGGACTTAAGCTTGTGATCCTCCTGCCTCAGCTTCCCCAATACTGAGAACTTTGTTTTGTTTTGTTTTGTTTTGTTTTTATAGTGCTAGGGATTAAACTTAAGGCCTTATCTCTGAGCTACATCTCCAACCATTTTACTTGGACAGTAGTTGGTTTTGGCTTTGGTTTTTTGTGGGCTTGTTTTGTTTTGTTTTGTTTTGTTTTGAGATAGGGTCTCACTATGCAATGCAGGTTGGTCTTCAACTCACAATAATCATCCTGTCTCAGCCTCCCAAGTGCGGGGATAACAGGTGTGGATTTCCACACCCAACTGGACCATCTCTTTTTCTTTTCCACCAGCACTGGAGATGGAAACCAAGGCCTTTCCCTGACCTACATCCTCAACCTTTTTTTATTTTTTAAAACAGGGTCCAAGTTGCTAAATTGCTCAGGCTGGGTTCAAATTTGTGATCCTCTACCTCAGGCTCCTCAAAGCTAAGATTACAGGCCCACCACACCCGGCTGTGGTGCTGATGCTGCTCCTCCCCCACCCCCCTTCCCTGGCCTCCCCCTCCCTCTCCAGTGCGAGCTCCCTTGGCCTTGACCTGGGCCATCTGCCCCGGTCCTTTGGAACCATCTCGGGTCACCACCTGCAGAAGCACAGCACCCAGCGGGAGGCGCAGAGGGGTTTCGGGACACAGGGGCAGATGATACGGAACCTCTCTCAAGCCTTCATGTGTTTCCCCACCTCCTTGGTGCTGTGGGTGTCCAGTGTCAGTGTTGGCAGGAGGAGGAGACAGAGCCACGGAAGCCCTCCTGGCTTGCCCTGAGCCAGAGTCCTGTTCTGGCTGCTTTGTGGCCACTGGAGGAATAAATGCAGCATTTTGCTCTTCCAGCTGCATCCAGCTCTGAAAATACATCCTTCCTCTGGGAATGATGATGGGGCAAAGTTTTGTTGCTTTTTGAGACAGGGTCTTACTACACAGCCCGGTTCACTTCTCAGTGATCCTCCTGCCTCAGCCTCCCTAGTGCGGGAATTAGAAGCATGCATCAGCAGAAGTGCTCTGTCCAGCACACGGAGGGTCCTGGCCTCAGTCCCCCCCCACACACACACACACACACACTCTATAACCTCATAGTAAAGAAACCTAACAAATGCTCCTCCACCCAGGTGATCAAACCCATACACAGGCACCCTCAACAGGAGATGAAAGTGACTTGACTTCTCTTTCTCCCAGAAACACACAATCTCAGTCTAATCTTAAGGAAAGCACCAGGCAAATCCCAGCACATGGGAATCCCACACAACACATGAATGAGCAAGGCTCTTCAAAACTGCTGAGGTTGTCAAACATGTTGAAAATCTGAAACACTGTAGCAGCAGCCAAAGAAAAACACAGGAAAAATGACCACCTAACTGTTGCTCACACAGGGACCCTGGGCCAGAAAAAGGTCCGTGCACAAAAACTGAGCCGGACACAGGAGTGCAGGCCTGTAGTCCCATATTCAGAGGCTGAGGCAGGGAGGTCACCAGTTTGAAACTAGTCTGGGCTACACAGCCAGACTGTCTCAAAAACAAAACAAAACAAAACAAAAAAACCCTGAAGAAATCTAAATACAATGTGGCCTTTCATTGGTAAACGGGTCAGCATCAGTTCATCGACCACCCCAAAGGAAGACATTAATTAATAAGTGCAGAGTGAAACACTATTCCCTTCTGCTTCTGCCACCCTAAAGTCAGTCTTGGAAAGAAAATGCACTTTTTCTTTTTCTTTTTTTTTTTTTTTTTTTTTTTTTTTTTTTTTTTTTTTTTTGTCTTTTTGAGACAGGGTCTCGCTATGCAGTTCAGGCTGGCCTTGAGCTCACTTTGTAGCCCAGGCTGGCCTCGAACTCATAACGGTCCTCCCACCTCAGCCTCCTGAGTGCTGGGATTACAGGTGTGAGCCACCACGCCCGGCTAAAAAATTGTTTTTTAATTTGGTTGTTTTGAGACAGGGGCCACACTAGGTAGCTCACTTGAACTCACCCAGTCTAGCCTTAAAGAACAAAAATAAAAATCGTGCAGGTGGGGCCAGGTGAACAACAGTAACCATGCGGCAGTGGCGCTCGGGAAGGAGCTGCCCTTTGTTGCCCCCCTGTGGCCAACCTGGACCTGGAGCAGCCTCAGTAGGGGCACGTGGGGCTCCAGGCTAAGGCCCCACCAGGCAGGCAAAGGCAGAATCAGATCTGACCCCACTGGCAGGCCAAGGCAGACAGCCTGGAAAAAGCAAGAACTCGCCCGCATGCAGCCTGCTGCAGCAGGGGCACACTGACACCCCAAGGTGACCCAGGATGGGGAGCAGAGGCCCCTTTTTTCTCTTTGGCACAAACTTCTCACTGACCCTCACCCATAACCCCACAGAAAGTTGAGATTCCAGTTTATTATTCTGAAAAATCACTGATTTAAGAAGAATCAAAAGACCTGGAGTGGTAGCCCATGCTTGTTATCCCAGCACTCAAGAGGCTGAGGCAGGAGGATCACTGAGTTCAAGGCCAACCTGAACTACATAGCAAGACCTTGTCTCAAAAAAAAATGTATGCAGGATCCAAGAGCCTGGGTGCTGTTTCCATGAACACCAGCTGACCCTGTTCCCTCCGCAGAGCTAAGAGCTGCCCTCAAGGGCCTACTGAGCAGCAGAGACTGGGAACCAAGGGGCTGCAGGCGTGGGGAGAGCACACACTTGACACAGACCATGAACTCATCAAGTATTTATTATGTGAACCATTTCTTCACCGTGAGCCACTGCCTGCTGCTGGAAACCTCGCCACTGTGACCCTCAGCTCCCCAAGAACACAGCCTGGGCTGGCAAGGGGCCAATTCAGAGGGGGGCCAAAGCATGGGGGGAGGGCAGGGAGTGGGAACAGGCAGTGCGCCGGGGCGGATGCCAAAAGACACACGTCCCACAGAGGCAGAGACAGAGCATCAACCTCCATCCCACCCAGCGGTCGCAAGGGCATCGGGGAAAAACCAGGCGTCCGGAGACATTTCAGTCCTTCCCTTCATGAAGCGTCAGCTGGGCGCGGCAGGGTTGAGGTCCTGAGCTGCAGAGAGAAGTGGGCGTGAGGGAGGCCAGCGGCCGGCACAGAGGATACAGTGGAGCCTGTGTCAAAAGGAGCAGCAGCAGCTGGGGTGAAGCACACTTGTAATCCTGGCACTTCGGGAGGCTGAGGCAGGAGGATCACAAATAAACTCAGCTGGGGAAACTTAGCCTCCTAGCAAGACCCTGTACCAGACTCAGAAGGGGTGGAACAGAAAAAAAGGGCTCAGAACAGAAAAAAACAAAGAACAAGCAGGGAGCACCAGCAGACAGGGAAACAGGCTAAGACTTGGTTCCCAGGTCACTGAGTCTGCAGTGAGCAGTCAGAAGGGAAGGAGGGGACTGCTCAGTGCTATGGCAGTCCTGAGAGCCAACCCAGTCCACAGCCAGCTCCTGCCGGCTCCCCACCTGCAGGGCCACCTGGGGCTCCCAGGACTGCCTAGGACATACATCCTTCCTGGGGTGTGGGTGTCCTGAGGACTCGAAGTCATCTGTGCCCAGAGAGCCACGAACAGGGCCACAAGGGCAGTCAGCTGCCCTCATAACCAAGCCCCAAGTGGCAGGCACCCAGGTCCAGATTGCTGCTGCACGGCAGCACGGTGCCCATGCGACAGACTAACCCGAGCCGCAGCTTGGCTATGCTGGTCCCGCCAGCCAAATGCTCGATATGATACAGGACATTCAGAAAGTGTAACTGCGAAGCAAGCCCCAGGGGACCGCGGGGCAGAGGTAAAAAAAAAAACCCAAGAATTCCAGGAAAGCCTTGCTGGGAATAAGTTCAGGGCATAGTGTGAGGTCATGGGTTTAATTCCTGGTACAAAAAAAAGAAAACAAAAAACCAGCTGGGTCAAAAAAACAAAACAAAACAAAAAAAATCAGCTGGGTTGTTGGTTTGGTTTGGTTGAGACAGGACCTCACTCCAGTGCCACAAAAAGAAAAAAGAAAAAAAAATTCTAGGAAATGGAACTTGAGCTGAAAGCATTTGGAAACTAGCAGTCTGGCACAAAGCCTGCTGGGAGCAGCAGTGCCCTGTGGGTGGACAGGGACATTCAATTCTAGACCGAGACCAAGGCCTGCAAAATGATCCAGAAACTCAGTAGATGGCAGAAGGTGGCTCTAGCCTCTGAAGCGTCAAGAACGCAGAACCCAGCTCTGGACTCGGGTAGTAGCTAAGCCCATTCCAGAATTGGGCTCACAGGGAACAAGGGAGGAAAATAAAACCAAACTCAGAAGGCACTGGAAGGCTCATTCAGTCCGAGTGACCCACAAGTGCATGCTCTAATGCTCACCAGCTGGAAACTCGAATGTTTCTAGAGGCCTCAGAACAGCGGGCAGTGCTGGTGAGCACATCCCAGCCAGCATGGGCCCAGCTCAGATTGGGAAGGGGCCCTGGGTCCGGACGGTGTGGGAGCTGCTCCTGAGACTCACTAGGGACCATAAGAGGCCACTGGGGGCCTGTTCTGGGATGGCCTGGGAGCAGGGAATGAGTCTAGGCTTAGCCGTGGTTGCAGGATGCTCTGCAGTTCCTGAAGCGTGTGGGTCACCGGGGGCCATTCCTAGATGATAATCAGTGGCCATGCCAGGGTCAGGCCCAGGAATTCCGCCTCCAACATGCCATGAACACCGACTGACCCTCAGCTCCACGTCCTGGCACAGGGACAAAGACTTCAGCGCCTCTCCCTCCCCAGCAGGAGGTACAATGCAACAGGCAGCTCCCCGGCCCTCACCTCCACCTTCAGGACACACTAGCCCTGAGCCAAGGCGGCTTTGATGGCAGCCACCAGCTTCCGAAACTTGCCTTCCGTGTCCACGAAGCCATCGCCTCCCTGGGAAGGCAAAGACAGACAAAGATGGGCTGCGCCCCATGGTTGACCACAGCCCACCCCATGCGCTGTCCCCACAGAGGTGACACCCGTACCTTCTTGGAGTGAACTAGCTTCCCAGCAACGGTCACTTCAAAGAAGCCAGTGGTCTGGGGTGTCCCCTCACCACACTGAGGAGAGACGCGGGGAGGGTGGAGTGGGGGCTCAGTACCCTCTTGGGGACACCCTCCCCTTCCCTGGGTGTGGACAACGGAAGTGAACCCCTTGGCTCCCATTAGGGCCAACCTCACCCACTGCCATTGAGCCCCAAGGGATAGACAAGACGCCCCCTCCGCCTGACCCCTCCAGACTCACGATGTCTAGGCATCCGGGGAACTCATCTTCCAGCTTCTCCTTGAGCTGGAGATACTGAGAATGGAGGTGGGGGAGTCAGCGCCTGCCTGCCTGCCTGCGGCCGCTCCCCAGGCATACCCCGCGCGTCCTGCCCCGGGCGCCACCTGGCGGCCATCCCTTACCTTGGGCTTGTAGCCTCAAGCGCCACTGTGGGCCAGGTAAGGCACGCAGATCCGGGACAGCCAGGCGCAGCGTTGTGAAGAAAAGGACCGGGAGAGAGAAGAGGGACACAGTTAGAAGCAAAAGGTGAGGACAGTCCCTCAGGAGAGAGAAGAAAGCCTCGCACACGCACAGTGAAGGGGAAATGCAGGGATGCACAGGGAAACCCACCAAGCAAGGCAGGCAGAAGGCACTCAGAGGAGGCAGGGAAAGGGCAAAGGAAGGACAGTGCGACACAGAGAAGGCAACAGAGAGGGAAAGCGAGACGACTGGGTTAGGGACTCGCTGCATAAATCACATCCCTCCAGCTCTCAGCCCCACAGCCGCCGTCACTCCTGAAACCGGAAACCTCTGGTGCCCAGCAAGAAATAGGAACTTCCCCAACCCTGCCAGCCTCGGGTCTGTCGAGCAGCTGGAAAGGTCACACAGACCCAGGCTGGAGTGGCCTATCACCTGCGCCTTGACTAGCTAGTTTTTGTTTGTTTTTGAGATACCGTCTCCCTATTCAGCCCAGGGGGAGCACTGAACTCCGGATCCTTGGGAGCCTGGATTACAGGCCTCAGACCATTGACCTGCCCTCCTGTCTCACTCCAGCCTCAGTTTCCTCGCCTGTAAAATGGACAACTCCCTTCCCACCCTGCCCGGCGTATCGGGAGGAGAAATTCACTGCACAGGTATTAAGTGCCTACTGCATGCCAGCATAGGGTCAAGCGCTGCAGACACACTCACTGGTTAGCAAGAGAAAAAACCGCATGTCTTGTTAAGACTTGCCTGCTAGCAGGGAAATGGAATCAAAAGATGTTTAGATGTTTAGTACTGGTCGTGACATGCATCAGCAGTAACTGGATCACCCCATTTTGCACTTAGAAGGGGAAATTGAGGCCAGAAAAGGAGGAGGCTTAGCAGCAACGGGCACGCACTGGGTTGGAGACGAATGTTGTGCAAGCCTTTTCTTTTCTTTTTATAGAGGGTCTCTATGCAGTGCAGGCTGACGTTTAACCACATATATGTATAACTCACAGCGATTCTCCTGCTTCAGCCTCCCCAGTGCTGGGTTTCCCCAGTCCTGTATTCAAGATCTTTCCTAACACGGGCAGGAGACCTTTCCGACCTTCTCCCCGCAGGTGTCCCCAACCCGAGGCTGCTCAGAATGCGGGGCGGTGGGAGCAGGGACAAAGCGCCGGGCACGGTACCCCTCCCCCATCGCCCTCCAGCCGCACCTTTCACAACCGGCAGGGGCGCGCGTGTGCCCGCCGCCCGTCCACCCGGGAGCCCCCTTCCTCTGGAGGAGCCCCAAGATCCTACCCCCGAGGCCCCAGCCCCGCTCCCACGGTCAGGGGCACGGAGTCTGGAGCACGAGGCAGAAGGGAGTCTTACCAATAAACGACTCGCACCGCGAGAGCCATGATGGGGAGCAGCACCGCCAGGAACCTAGCAGCAACTCCAGCTGCTCGCGCGGTGTGCACTGGGCATGCGCTGGCCGCGGCGCGAACCAATGCGGGAGAGTGGGGACAGGGACGGGCGGGAGCGTGAGGCCTGACCCGACCCTCCGTCGAGGTCCCGCTGTCCCCGTGTTGGACCAGAGGAGGACTCAGTACAGGGAGTCCCCGACCGAGCTCGCTGCGCGTCTCCGCCTGTCTCCCCCCTCCTCCCCGAAATGGTACGACCAGGTTCCGAGCTTTGCGGGCAGCCTCCGGGCGGGGCCGGGAACTGAGCCTTGGGCAGGATGGGGTTAAGGTGGACAGTCTCTAGGTCCCAGGAGCCTCCAGGCCCACTTGCCTCCTAACACCCGAGCGCTTGATGACCCTGCAAACCCTGTTTCTTTGTTTCTTTGGTTTTTTGAGACAAACGCTCACAACGTAGTTTAACTGGACTCGAACTCACGGCGAGCCTCCTGCCTTGGCCTCCCGTGCTGGGCAGACCTTTGGGCGCCTTCCTCCTATCCCCTTTGGTGCAAAGTGCTGAAATTGGGAAGCTGAGTTGAGGGGTTAGGAGTGATGCTTTTCTCTGAGCCTCAGTTTCTCCCGCTGAAAAATACCGGTAATCATCTGCAGGGAGTGTTTGCTCATTTATAAATTTGTTCTGGTACCGCCTGCAGTGCTAAATCGATGGAGAAACAAAGAACCTTTCCCACAACGCAGAGATTCTGGCAAGCAGGATCCAGGGCGCAGGAAAATGGTGCTTCCCCCTAGCGTGGCAGGAACGACAAATACCTTCGTGCGCCTGCGAGGATCTGGAACCAGGACGAGAGGGCAGTGGCTCTCTGATCAGCTCTGCCAGAAGCTTCGGCCTCCAGCTTGGCTTCCTGTAGCTGCTGGGCCCCGGTTACTAGGCAGTTAGATTTTGGTAGGCCTGAAGGAGGAAGGAGGGGTCCAAAATAGCATTGCAGGTTAGGAAAGACGTCAATATGCAAGAGATAATCATGCATTCGTGCTCAGACCCACAGCGACCCCACAGAGCACAGTGACATCTTAAGGTTACATACCATGTCCTTCCTTCTGTCGATGATTTGGGGGAGAAGGTGAATGTTTTGTTTTGATTGAGTTTGTTTGGGGTTTTTGTGTCGTGTTGTGTTTTGTTTGAGACAGTCTCCTTCCTACTTCAGGCTGGGCTCGAACTCACAGTATAACCCAGGTTAGCCTCAAATTCAGAGGCTATAGGGCTGGGGATTTAGCTCAGCGGCATAAGCGCCTGCCTTGCAAGCAGGCGGTCGTGAGTTCGATCCCTGGTACCGATAAAAATGAAAAAGACAAAAAAAAAAATAAATAAATAAAAAAAATAAATTCAGAGGCTATTCAAAACCTTCATTTAAACAATTTATTTTTGGGGGCTGGGGATTTGGCTCAGCGTCATAAGCGCCTGCCTTGCAAGCAGGCAGTCATGAGTTCGATCCCTGGTACCAATAAAAACGAAAAAGACCAAAAAAAAAAAAAAAAAAACCCTCTATTTTTTGCTGTAATCCTCGCTAAGACAGGAGGATCGCTGTGAACTTGAGGCCAGCCTGGGATATATAGTGAGACCCTTCCTCAAAAAAATCCAAAAATAAATAAATACATAAATAACTTTTGAGACAGGGGTTCTGATGAAGTGAGGAATGGGACCCTCAGTTCCTTGGTCCTTGGTTCTTTGTGGCCTTGATGAAAAAATTCAGTCAACCTGTGAGCTCATCACTTGGGAGGATGAGGCAGGAGCATTGCTGTGAGTTAAACCCAGTCTGGGAAACATAAGGAGACCCTGTCCTAAAGGCCAATTCATTAAAATTGAGGTAAAATTCATGTAAATTAATTGTGTAAAAGTAGATGACCCTGGGGTTTAAAACATTCACAGACCTTGTTTTTTTTAAATGATTCTAATGGAACCACAATGCGGGGCCATGTCTCAGGTGAGAAAGAATGAGATCGTGGACAGAGGAGGTGGGGAGCAAGAGAACTTGTGTAAAATACAAGGGCTGGAAGGGAGAGTTCCTGCCAGCCAGGAGGGGTCCTGAGCAGGACACCCACAGGGCTCTGTGCCTGGGTGTTAGGGATTTTATTGTTTTAGTCTGGTTTTGGTTTTGGTTTTTGTTTTGAGGCAGGGTCTCGATATGAAGCCCAGGCTGGCCCTGAACTCAACAATCCTCCTGCCTCAGCCTCCCGAGTGCTGGGATTACAGATATGTGTCATCATACCCAGTACTCTCAGGTTCACTCAGTTCCCATGTGGGGTCCATGCACCCTCGAGCCCACAGTCATCTGACCACACGCCAGAGAAGCCCCTAAGATACCTTCAGGGCCTGCTCCTCGGACTCCCCTGTGGGCCACTTAAGGAACCTGCCTGATGCAACCCTGATTCCTGGCCACTAACGGCTGTCTCACTAAGTCATCATTTCTCATAGGAAATGGCAGGAACGCTATGGGGTGTGTGTGTGTGTGCACGCGCTGTGGAACCTGGTAAATTGTACCTAATCCAATGTATGTCATTAGTGCCCTGAGTCCATCCACAGCCATGTCCAAGCTAGGCACGGTTCTCACCTGTACCCAGGAGGCGGCCTCTTCCCCTCCCAGCCCTACCACAACTCTCCTTCCTGTCCCTACAATGGACACTTCAAACCACGGAATCCCAAACATGGGACCTTTGTATCAAGCTCAGCAATGCCCACACTCAAGCCCATGTCCACTTTAGAACTTTGCATTCACTCTGCACCCCCACCTCCCACTAGGGCACACTTCCCTCGACCCACCCTCGGGGCTGCCACTGAGATGCCTTCAAATCTCTGTGTGATGAGTCTCCACAGGCACCCTACTGAAAACTAGAACCCAGCGCCGGGCCACAGCTAAGGAACAGAGCACTTGCCTAGGGAGCCCTTGTGGTCTGTCTGGCAACAGGAAAAACACACACAAAACTAAACTGATCTGGGCATGGGGGCGCATACCTGCAATCCCAGCACTTGGGACACTGAGGCAGGAGGATCACCGTGAATCTGAGGCCAGTCTGGGCCACATAAGTGCATTGTTCAAGGTCAGCATAGTGACAACTGCATAGCGAGACCCTGTCTCAAAAAAAGTCACACAGAGATGCTTATATTAAAGGATGCAACTGTGAGTGCCATTAATTTTCACAAAAATCCTGTAGAAAAGCTTAGGTCCCTTATCTGAGTATTAACAGACTTTTGAAACAATTGAATTATGTAAAACTATGTGGAACAGGAAAGCAGGCCATGTCATTTGTCAGCACCAAGCAAAGTCTTATCCTCCTGTCTGCGTGATAAGGCACATTATCTCTTTCCAGCAAGTGTCACGGTTTAGAATTCAGGCATGTTGGGGCTGAAGTGGTATCCATTGCATTTTCCTGTCCAGATTTTTACCCTTAAAGGGAAAAGATATATTTCAGATTCTAAATTATTCTAGGTTTTTTGCCAGGTGTGGTGGCACATCCCTGTAATCCCAGCACTGAGGAGGCTGAGGCGGTAGGATCATTTTGAGTCTGAGGCCAGCTTGGGCTACATAGTGAATTCAAAACCAGCCTGAACTTCAATGTGTGGCCCTGTCTCTAAAAAAGTGGTTTTTAGTTTGCTTGTTTTGGTATCAGGAATCGAACGGGGACCTTGAGCTTGCCAGGCAGGTGCTGAGCTGTATCCCTGGCAATTTTTTTTTTATTGGTACCAAAGATCAAGCTCACGACCACACACTTGCAAGGCAGGCACTTAGGATGCTGAGCTAAATCCCCAGCCCTGTTTTGTTTTTAATATAACGAGGTGAACAGGTCTTAAACACCTCAGTGAATTCTTCCTGTGCATCACACCATGTATGCTCCGGGTGAAGACGCTGATCATTTCCTTCAGCTCCTCCATGGCATACCCTATGGTGACTTGCCTGGAGATGGAGCCATGCATACTGTTTAGGACAGGTTCTTGCTGTTCACATAACACCTATGACGGGCAGATGTTGTAGTCAGGGTCCAGAAGGGAAAACATTTAATAAGGGACACATAATTTATAGGATTATTTTACAATATTCACCCAAAGAGGCAAATGCATGTGAGTGCCGGAGATCTGTCCACACACTGGAGATCCAAGGAATCCAGCTGGCAGCCTAAAGCCCAGGGCCATGGCTCATGCAAGTCTGTATCACGGATCTGCACTGGGAAGGCCCAAAGATCAGTGGGATCTTTGGGAAGCTAGAAAGTCTGCACTGGAGCCAGGAAGAGACACTCAAGGTAAGGGCCAGAGCTCCCCTAAAGAGAGCCACAGCCACCCTTAGTGACAGCAGGGACCCAAGCTCCAAGCATAGTTATAAGAACACATTTATCAGGTAGTGTTGTACTCTAAGAAAATACCTTCATTATTTTGTGTATTATAGCAAACCTGCAACGTGGCTTACTAAATGTGTTTTTTATCCTTTTTCCCTAACTGATATGTTAAGTGATCTAATTGATATGTTGAGCAATACTCTCCTCTGTAAAGAATTGCAAGAATCTCACCTAATTGATATGTTAACCATTGTTGCCCTCTACAAACTACAGAAGTTGTGCTAAAACAAGCTAACAAGGGTTGTTAATCACTGTTAGGCGCCTCTATTCTCTGCTAAAGAGCTAAAGAAAACTAGGATGGCCCACTAATTTACACTTGTTTGAAGTAACTTGCTTGTGTGCAGAGAGATTTGTGTATGAGTTTAACCCTTTACCTGACCTTGACACATAACCGCCGTTTTCTGTTCTGTATGGCACCTTATTGCCTCCCTCTCCCCTCACCTATCTATCTAGGCCATAAAGAATTTGGGTTTCTGGTGACCTCTTCCCGACCAGGTGATGATCTGTCATAAAATGAGCCTGCCCCAATTTTAAGAACTGTTTAGCTTCAAAGAAATTACCGGGAAATACTATGGCCCAAACCCCAATCGGTGCTTTCCTTTTGTTCTGTATGCATCAAATGAGTTAGATATCAGATCTTTGTAAAACTTAAGTTTCAGCTTCTTGTAACTCTTGACCCCTTCACGCCCACTAGCGAAAACGAGCTGTCCTGGGATAATTAACTCTCCACTTTCTTCTCCAAATATTGCTGCAGATGTGCCACTCCGAGATAATGTCAGTCTGTAGGATGGGAGTAATTTGAGAAACACCATTGTCAGAGCTAAGTGGACAGCAATACAGTTTCCAGACTTGGGTCAACAAGTTTGATGGCTCTGCAGGTTTCTTTGTTTCTCCCCCCACCCTTTTCCTCCAGCCTCTTTTTAAAGTCCTCCCTTCAGTCTCTGGGGCACAGTCTCCAAATTGGCTCCCGGAGACTCATCGCCAGGCCTGGAAATAAAGCCTTTGCTACCTAAATTTTTGGTCTCTTGTTTCCTTGGATTTTATACCGGGGGCCCGAGTTATAACAGTAGCAAACTTGTAGATACTTCATGATCAATTAGAAGTCTCTGATCAAGTTTCTACTCTGCTGTTTCTGCTGAATTCAGCTGACCTTGATAGTGTCTGCAGCCCAGCTGCACACCTCTGATGCGTCTTGGGTCAGAGTGGTGGTCTGTACCTTAAGGCAGCCTGGGCTAATTCAAGGGCCCCTCCCCAGAATGTTCCTATAATATGGTAATGCCCTTAACTGTGTTCACTCTGTAAGGCCCCTCCCTTGTTCCCCCAGTGTTTCTATATTAGGATTACAATTCCTTTGTTTCAAGACTAGCCTGCCTGTCAATACATGACTTAACCAATTATATAATGTTCTTGTCACTAAATTCTACATAAACTACACTCTCCCTAAATTCAGCACCGTTGCCTTGAGGGATTATCCTGTAACAGTCCACAGGCGTGAAACACGGGCATGAAGACCCAACAGTCCGTTGGTGTAACCATTAAATGCTGCCTTCCTGTCTCCTCCTCAGTGCAGAGTCTTCCTTTCGGTCTGGTTTGGTTTGCTTTGGGAATTTTCCCACAACACGCCAAGGATGAGAACAGTGGAATTCATATCAGGAAAGTCAGCAGGACAAGATTTTACAGGGGAATCAACAGCACCATTTTCCCCTCCAGTTCTCCTTTCATGCTGTTGGCAGCGATCCTCAGGTGGGCCTGCCACACCCAGCACCACACTGACTCAGTTCACCTGGGTGTTAGGAGGTGACCATCAGTTCATCCACCACAGGCCCTGCCTCTGCCCCGTCCTCTCACACCTGCCCAGGTCACCCCTGCTGCTCAGGGCTCAATGCACATAGCAACAGCTGTTTCCGTCTGGCCACCACACCTGGCCGAGCTGCAGTGGTGGACAGGGGCCCTCGGGGCCTCCCCACAGCTCCAATCCTGGAAAAGCCGAGGCAGGCAGCCATCTTCCCCGAGCCAGGGGCAGAGCCAGAACATCCAATTATGAGCACCTCTGTCCTCCTGGGCTTGGTGCAGCCTGATTGTACCTCTCACCCAAGCAGCTCCTAGCACTGCCAGTGCTCCCAGTGCTGGATCTTGACCCAGAGGCACCAGGAGAAGCAGCTTTTACAGTCACTCAGCTGTTAAGGAAGCCAGGCTTGTGTCCTGCAGTCTGGGTCTGACAGACCTTTGGCCTGTGTTGCCATGTAACATCCCCAGACACACACACAGACCCAAGCCACAACCCAGCCCCTTCTTGGGCAGGGCTGTGTCCTTCCTGGGGCTGACTTCTGGCAGCCACTGTTAGTGAGGCCAGTCTGCCCTTGTCAGGGCTCAACAGCTCCCCACACACTTCCACCTAATTGTTCCAGCAGCCACTGAGTGAGGACCCTGCCTGGACCTGTTATTTTGTAACAGCTGGAAGTGATTTTCTAATCTTTACTCTGTGTGTGTGTGTGTGTGTGTGTGTGTGTGTGTGTGTGTGTGTGCGCGCGCGCGCGCACGCGCACATGTGTGACGGGGCCTTGTTAAGTAGCTCAGGCAGGCCTCAAATTTGCAGTCTTGCTTCAGCCTCCTGAGCGCAGGGACTGCAGGTGTGCACCACCACGCCTCGCTTCCAGAAGTCTGTTGAGCCCTCTGTGAGCGCCAGATACTCGTGAGCGCATCTGACAGTTCAGGGTGTGATGGGGAGGCTGGCCAGCTGTGTCTGGAGGACAGAGAGGAAGAAGTGGAAGGAGCTAATACCGGCCCCCTGGTGTAAGTGGGGAGTCATTCACTGTTCCTGATTCTACTTCCTGTGGAGCCAGACAAGAGGGTGTAATCCTGGATGACTTCCTGGAGGAGCAGAAAAGAGGCATGAGGCTGCCATACCTTCCAGGAGGGGCAAGGCAGCCAGACTCCAGGTCTGTATGTCCCACCAGCAGCAGGAAGCACAGGAGACTAGGGAAGGTAGCTAGGGTGGGGGTCATCAGGGCAGGTTTGAGACAGGCCTCTGGCCGCGGCTAAAACCAAGCTGTGGTTGGCTTCAGCAGCTGATTACCATAACCAGAAACTCTGAGGGAAGGCTGCCACGGCTGGATCTAGAAGCCCAGAGGGCTGCTGGGTGAGGATCCATGTCCCAGCCATGACCCACCATCTCATGTCTCACCGTCCTCCAGTTTCACTGGGCTGGAAGCCCAGCGCCTCTGTGTAGAATCCCTACTACCTGGGGTACAGGCAGGCCGGGAAGCGGTACTGCGGGGGTCTGAGACAGAGGTTGGTTCCTGCTCAGGTCGAGGGCGCCCCCTGGTGGCCTTTTCTCTGCATCCCGATTGTCCTTGAATTTAGGACGCACTGCTGCTGCCTGCTTCAGTCCACATCGCGGGTCCTGAGTCGATTTAGGGCGACCCTGTGCGTGCAGGACCACGGACAGCACTCTGGGGTCAATCCCGGCACCGGGCACCTGGACCCCGGGGCATCCGCGAATCGACCACGGATCCCCCGTAGGCCCCTGAGCTGTGCCCTGGGTCTGATGTGCCCCATGCAGTTGAGCCATCCTCGTGTCCCCACCCCACTCAACTGTTGTGGGGCGTCTGGCTCTTTTGCTGGCCTCAAACTCATGACACACGCTAGGTAAGAGCTCTTCCACTGAACCACACCCCACCCCAGCCTTGTACTTGGCTCTTATTATTTGCAGTACTGGGGACTGAAAGGGCACTGCATTACTGCCCTTTGCTATTTTGTTCCTTTTGAGACAAGAGTTTCACTCCACTAAGTAGCCCGGTCTGCTAACTTCTCATCCTCCTGCCTCAGTCTCCCTGGTGCTGGGCTCACAAGTGTGCACCACCAACTGATTCTGTTTCTTAAAGTGTGCTCCACTGTATAAATCTTAGAAGCCAGGCGTGGTGTCACACATCTATAATCCCACTGACCCCAACTGAGGTAGGAAGGTGCCAGATTGGAGGAATAGATCCTCCTCCTCCTCAGGAAGAGCTGAGCTCAGACCCACCCTGAAAGGGGCTGGATTCCCGCCCACGCTGGTCTCCTCCCCTTATGTGGAGCACCCCCAGGGGACCCTGCCCTGCCATTTCCTCGGGAAACACTTTCCCAAGTGAACCACAGTCACAAGGTCAGGGCATTTGTGAGTTTCTGGCATACACTACAAGTTTCCACTGCTTTTTCTCCCCGCGGCAACAGTGGCACTTGGGGCCTCAATGGGTGGGGCCAGGCCTTCCCCTGAGCACTCTGTCACCTCCATGTGGCAGTGGGGACCCAGGCAGAGCAGTTACACGGACGACCTGCAACCCCGCTCACTTTGAACGGAGAACTCAGGTGCCAGCGCTGCTTCCTACCATCCAAGGCCTGAAGCAAAGGCACCGGCCTGACCCAGCCTTTCACAAGGGGCAGGGTTTTTCTCCCAGGACCGAGACTGAACCCAGAACCTTCGCTGAGCCACATCCCCAACCCCTTCCCTTTTGAGACATGAACTGTAGCCCAGAATGGCCTCAGACTCACAGCAATCCTCCTGCCTCCACCCAAGGCCTAGCCCAGGGTGCAGCTAGAGAACCAGTGACTATGTCAGGAAATACATGACTGCTGAGCTGGGTTCAGTAGGTGGCCTGAAATCACCTCTGCAAGGCAGAAAGGTACGCAGGAGTAACCTGCTTAACACAGCCTGAGGTAGCATCTAATGCCTTGCGGTCAGTGCTTCAGTTCTGATATGCAGTGCTGAATACACTGGGGAGTCACAATCTCTTATTTCAAAGCCAGATCACAGGTGACATTGCTGAGCACAGCTCTCTTCCCACCCAGCTCACATGTGCTTCTAGGAAGCTACGGGACAGGGTAACACTGTAACCTTGCTCCAAAGACCACACATCAGCACCTTGGGTAGACTGATATGCCTTGCTTAAAGCCAACTGAGGGGATAAGGAAAAATCCTAGCCAGCTCTGTATGCATCAGTGCACTGAACTGGGGCCTGGTTTAGCCAGAATGAAGGTAACTGATCCTCTTTCCTGCAGAATCATCCAGATGTCCTCCACTGCCCTCACCCGGTATGCAGAGGAAGCTACAGACGCCCTGCAAGTCCATCTGCGGCTCCCTGGCTCCCTGGCTCCCTGGCTCCCAGCCTCTTCCTGATGGAGAATCCAGATGGACCTGTTCTCACTGCAGCCCTGCAATGCAGAACAGAGGCTCCCCCCCCACACCCCAGCAGGCACCCCATCCCCATCAGGCCCTCTGGATCTCATTCCCTGTGCACCCTACTCCTCAGTGCTCCCGGGATGGCTGGCTTCTCCTTGTGTAGCTGGTGACAGAGCCACAGCCACACCAACTGTCCCTGGCATCTGTCCCCACCTTACTCCCACACGGGCATAAATAGCATTTCCTTATCTGATAAACATATCCTTTTACTGAAGACGGGGAAGAAAGCCAGGTGGTGGTGCACACCTGTGATCCCAGCACTTGGGAGGATAAGGCAAGAGGACTGACTGCCAAGAGTAGAAGGGCAGTCTTGGCTATACAGCCCAACCCTGCCTCCAAAACCCCACTGCCACCTCATGGGAGACTCGGCCACAGCCACGTAAGGAGGCTGTATCCAGAGAGCCCTGTGTACCTCTGGCAACACAGTGCGACCCTGCAGGGGCAGCATCACGGGAGAAGTAGAGGTGAAGGCCAAGGACACTCCGCCAGCAGCTCAGAGGACAGCACTCTGTACGCCTTATAAGAGGCTGGTGGGGACACAAAGACACAGCCCCCCAGTCCCCAGCTAGTCAGGGGGCTCCCAAGTTCGAGGCCAGCCTGGGGACCTTAGCAAGACCCTGCTCCAAATACTTTTGGGGGTTCTGTTTTTTGAGACACGGTCTCTATGTAGCCCAGGGTGGACTCAAATGTGTGTGCATGTGAGGCTTAACGCCTTTCTGCAGCCTGCTTCCTCACCTGTATCACGGACATTTGTACCCCTTACACCACACTAACCCCCTGCCCAGGCACAGGGCTGGAGTCCTGCACCACAGGTGCCCCCACCCTGCCTGCCTCTGTCACCACTGGCCCCCCGCCTTGGTCTGCCACCCTTCTGGCGCCAGGGCCAGACCCGGGCCTCGCGCACACCTGCTGCTGTCTACAGAGCCACCAGCCTTGCCGTGTGCCCTGCGGACCCACTAACGGCAGCCTGGTCACCCAGCTGCTCGGGGGCTTTAGTGCAGAGGAGCACTCTGCCCTCTACGTCCTGGCCAGCAGGGGACGTTGGAGATGACAGAGAGGCTGGGTGGGCAGAGGGAGGAAGCCACACAGCCCAGGCATTGGTCACAGGTGCTTTATTGAGGGGAGGGGGCTCCAGCGCCGCACTGCTACAACCTGGGGACAGAGAGGGGCAGAGGCGGTGAGGAGTGGTGTCTCCTCTGGTTTGGGCCCCTTACTTTCCCTTTGGGACGTTCTGCTGTGCAACCTCCAACCCCGCCCCTAGGCTGACCAGAACCTGTGACCACAGGACACTACAGGGACCAGGGCTCCTGGCTGCCTGCCACCAAGGCGAGGAGGGGACACTCACTGGATTTCTCGGAATGCCCGCTTTTCCACCAGCTTCACCTTGTACTTGCGCTTGAACCTGGGAAGCAGAGCAGATATCAGGGACGTCAGCCCAGCCCATGCACAGGGGCGTCCTGCACACTGGGGTGGCCCCAGCCCGGCGCTCACTTGGCTCTCTCTCGAGGCTCAATCATGTTCCGGCGCTGGAAGCTCTTGAAGCGATCTTGGAGGATGTTGCCCTCAGGCTGCAGCAGAGAGACAGGCTCAGCCGTGCCACAAGAAGCAGCACCGGGTTACCCAGTCCACCTAGGAGCCCCAAGGCAGGAGCCAGACGGGTCTGGCTTGAGACCGCACATGACTGAAGGACCACCTGGGCAGAAAAGCTACCCTCAGCCCAGAACTCACCCTCCCACAGGATCCTGTGCCCTCAGCCCCCGGGAACGGCTCACCGGGCCACCCCGGGGCAGCAAGGTTGTCGCCCACAGCCCCTGGGGGCACGGGGAGCAAGGATGGAGTCATCACCGGGCACAGTCCTGCCACACCGTTGCTGCCGGTCACGTACCTTCAGGGCCCTCAGTGAGTCAGACCGCTCTGAACTGAGCTGCACGTCAATGTCGGGGGCCTGGTACCTGCAGGGGGAGGACGGAGAGCAGGGGCTGAGCTCAGCTGGGAGCTCGAGCCCAAGGCTGACGCCCCGAAGCAGAGCAGGCCCCAGGGATCCTCTCCAGCCTCACTTGAGCCGCCCCAGCCTGCAGGGCTTGTCATCCTCTGCCAGCCGCTTCAGCCGCCGCTGCTCCCGCCGCCGCGCCAGCTCTGCCAGCCGCTGGGCCACCTGGGCCTTAATCCCACGCAGCCGGAAGAGCTCTTGACGCCGGAGTCGGGCAGCACGCAGCATGGCCTGCTGTACCCGCTGGGGGAAGAAAAGGGCTGGGTCAGGGCTCTGAGGGCCACTCAGCCCCCCACGGCCTCTCCTGACCTCTGTCCTCATCCCTGCACACCAGCTACCCAAGGTCTTGGGTTATTTTCTCCCTGGGACCAGGAATCGAACCCGAGATGCTCAATCACTGGGTTACACCCCAAGCTCCTTACTTTGAGACAAGATCTCAGTAAGTTGCTCAGGTGGGCCTCAAACTGATATCCTCCTACCTCAGCCTCCCAAGCAGCAGATTCCAGGTGGGCACCACGTGGCTTCAGCAGCTGTTTTCCCTGACTACCTCCTCCCTTTTCTGACCAAGATCCTCGTGTTTACCCTCTCCAGTTCATGCACCAGGGCAGCTTTGGAGCCAGATGGCACAGGGGCAAGAGAGGCAGGTGGGCCAGGGCTCACCAGTGTACGGGCTGCCTTCTCCCGCCGCCGCTGCTGCTCGGTCTTCTTCTCCATGGCGGTGGCTGGGAGGGCAGGCTGGGGAGCAGCCTGGGCTCCCCCCACCTCGCTGGCTGCATCTTGGCCGAGTTCACCCTCCCCGTCCGACTCCTCCAGCAGCCCCTCACACATCTCCTGGAACATGGTCTCCTGCAGGCACAGGCGTGGCATCAGGGCAGGTGGCAGTGGGCAGCAGGCATAGAGTACAGAACGGGCAACGGGGGCTCACCTGCGTGGCAACCTGCTCGGGGGAAGGCAGCGCCAGCTGCCGCTCCAGCTTCTCGGCCTCCTTCTGCCGCTGCAGCTCCACCTCATGGGCCACCAAGAGCAGGGCCTGGGGTGGGTGGGGGGATGACGCTGAGGTCTGAGGTTGTAGCAGCCCTGCTCCCAGCTTCTGCTGTCCATCCAGGTGACAGGCCCATCCCACTCCCAGTCCTTAATGCCCCCACGCTTCCTGTGCATGCCCTCACCACCACATACCACTTCCCTGCTGCACAACTCAGGGACATCAGGTTCCCAGAGACAGAGGGCAGGCACTGGAGGGCTATAGCATGTGACCTGCACCCTGAACACATGCGCACACACATGCACACGCCTGCTTGAGTCTATGGCCCTGACTGCTTGCTGCACCCTCTCCCCAGGCCCTGTCCTGGGGAGGTGTGTGGGGCCCGCAGGTCCCCTTATTTCTGGTGGTGACTGGGACTGAACCCAAGACCTCTGTGCACCGGGCAAGGGACTGGCGTGGAACACTCACTGCTCAGAGCAAGTGCTGAGTGGGGACTCACAGCCCATTCTCCTGCTGTGCCCTTGGCCCCAGTGAGCGTCCAGTGTCCCTGGGCTTCCTGAAAGCAGGCCCTGTGCTGCTCTCCCATGCTGCACCCTCCCAGGCCTGTGAGGCTCCAATGTCCGCTTCCCAGGGAGCCAGGCTGGTAGGAGATAGGACAGGCCCAGCTGTCCCCAGAGCAGGGCCTGCACAAGGCTGGGGCCTGATGTGGACCTACCTGGTGGTCCTCAAAAGTCGGGTTGTAGGAGGCTCCAGCGGGCATCACCTCCACGGCAGGGGCTGAGGAAGGTTTGCGGTGGAGACGCTGTGGGCGCTGCAGGGAGACAAGGCAAAGGCAGGATGAGGCAAGGCTGGGGCTCGGTATACCCTGGGCTGACACTCAAGTGACAACAGGAAAATATCCTGTAATCCCAGCGAGTGGGGAGGCTGAGACAGGAGGATCCTTAGTTCAAAAATCAGCCTGGGCTATACAGTAAGACATGTCAAAAAATTAACATAAGGAAGCCTTGTCCTCTGGCCCTCTGCCTTCCACCTGCAGCATCCAGGACTTCACCCTGACATGGTGAGCAGTTGCCCGCCACACCCACAACATGCTGGGCCCCACACTGCATGCTCTGTTTCTGGTTCTCTCAGTCACTGTCTTGGGACTCCGTGGTGGCATGAAGGGGCTGAGATGGCCAAGTACCTCGAAGCTCGTGTCTTCACACCTATGGCCTGGCTGTACAGCGGCACAGACCGCTGTCACCAAGCCCAGGGGCCCCCGTGGGACCCAGCACCTGTGCCAGACACCCCTGCCCCCACCTGACACACCTGTCCCAGCAACCACGCCTACAGGGCAGAACCCAGGCCAAGGTAGGTCTGCATTCAGTGCCTCCCAGGGTCCTGTTGCCCACTGCACCCTGAGAAACCCAAGAAACCCGTGGGGCCACCCAGGAGCTACTCATGGGATGCGCATCCCAGGACCCCAGACACCAGCTCTCATGTGTTACCTCTTCAAGTTAATTTCCCCACTGCTTTACCCCAGTAAGTTTGCCTACTCTTAGAACACAAAATGCAACAAACACAGCTATCACGTGCTTTCTTTTTTGTGTGTGAGACAGAATCTTACCATGTAGCCCAGTCTGGCCTCAAAATCTCTTTCTCAATGACCCTTCTGCTTCAGCCTCCCCAAGCAATAGGACTACAGGTGTGCACTCCCATGCCCAGCTACCAGCTGCACTTTTTTTTTTTTCGTGCCGGGGATTGAACTCATGACCTTGAGTTTGCCAAGCAAGCATTTATGCCATGGAGCTAAACCCCCGGTCCACCGGCTGCATTTCAAAGGATGACACAGAAGTATAGAGAAGCCACTGGACCAGTGAGAGTGGGACTAGGAAAAGGACTCAGGGCACCAGGCTGTGTGGATCACCAGGATGAGGGACTTTAAGACTATAGCCCCCACCCCCATAGCTGGGACCACCCCTGCCCATGTCCTCACCCGCACGCCTTTCTTCTTGGTCTGCTCGAGGAAAAAGGTGTCCTGGCCAAGCAGCGCCCTGTCCAGGGGGTCTGTGGAGCAAGTGAGGCAGCTGCCGGGAGCTGTCTGGTATACAGAGGACCCCTCCACCCCTATTTCAAAAGCATGGCGCTGAGCTCAAGGTACATCTAGATGGAGTTCAGAGAGCACAAGAGCCCAGGCTGAGGCAGGCCCCTACTCTGGAAAGCGGCACAGCAGAAACCAGAGTGCTGGCCGCTCAGGACCTCCTGCTCCACTGGGAGATCGTGGAAACACGACCCACAGGGCATCCCTGAGGCCTAGCTCTTGCCCAGTGCATAACATGCACAACTGCCTGTGGGAGTTCGGTGCCCACCAGCAGGCAGCGTTACTCACTGTCTGGGGCCCACAGGTCGTAGAAGGGCCGCTCAACAGCATCCTGTGGTCCAGGCTTCCTCTTGGGCGTGGGAGGGTTGAGCAGCCGGGCCTGGGCCTTGCGAACCTCCCGGGGAAGCTCACCCTGCTTCGCCAGCCGCTCCCATAGCTGTTCTTTCCGCCGGAGCTTCTTGGCATTGGGGACCTGGTGGGCGAGGACACTGGGCCGGGTACACAGGCAGAGACACAGGTGAGGTGACGGCCTGGGGCCTCTAACTCGGACTGCCTGGCTGTCCACCGTGCCACCTGTACCCTGCTGCAGGGCTGTCACTCAGCCCATGTGACTGGAACCTCAAACAGGTGGCCCTCCTCTCCACCCCACACACAGCCTGGTCCAGACCTACATCCCCACCCCACTGCCCTGGGCCCAATAATCCAATCTCCCTGCTTGCTCCAACCTAGTCCGCGAAGGCTGTGAAGTCCAAGTCTTGCCTGTGATCCCAGCACTCAGGAGGCTGAGGCAGGAGGATCACTGAGTTCAAGGCCAGCCTGGGTTACACAGTGACTTAAGGCTAGTCTGGGCTACATGACCAAACCCTGTTCCCAACAAATAAGCCCAAATCTGCCTGTTACCCAAACTGCCTTCCCTATCCCCCTCCCCTCCACGGAAGCCCTCAGGTCAGGGGATGGCAAGGAGGAAGAGCGTCGTGGGCCTGGGCTTGGGGACACTCACTCTTTGGGGGCAGGGATCTTAGATGTATTCTCAAGGATGAGGTCAACCCGCAGGGGTTTCTGAAGCAGCGACTTCTTCTGAACCTTGGTTCTCTTCCTGCTCTGCTCTGGAGTGGAAAAAAGGTGTAGTCAGAGTCAAAGGCCTCCCCACTGCCAAAGACCAGCACTCCTAGCTTGGAGACCTCCAGGCAGTGTCACCCCAGTGTACTTGAGGAGGCCCCAGAGCAGGGTGCTCAACGCTGCCCGGCCTTTACCACACCTCGCTGTGGCGGGAGGAAGGGCCCATGCTGGAACCAGAAGTAACCCTCATAGGCACTGCAGGGCTCCTGGACACAGCACAGCCGAGGAGAGCAGGCAGCCAGGTGACAGCGAGGCCCAGGGAGGGCCACAGGGGCTGATTCTCAGTGCAGTGCCCTGCCCTTTGCAGCCAGAAACTACCAGGGAACAGAACTGTACTCTTCACCAACAGTGGGGCTTTATGTAGGGGACTCCACTCCTGCACCTGCATCATGGGACGCAGAGCACAGAGGTCAGGTTGAATCTACAGAGAGCTAAGGTTGAATCTACAAAAGGCCTCACCCCTGCTCCCTAAAGCCAGGGACTCAGCCACTTCCTGTCTGTCCGACAGGCCTGCTGTGCCCACACCACACAAGTACTGGTCCGTGGAAGTCTCTCTGTGAGGATCGATGTCACCTGCTCATTCAAAGTCCCTTGGGCCTTGCACTGGCCTCAGCCCACTGGAGTGGGTTGGGCTCTCCACGGACTCTTTGGAGTGCTGGCAGGCAGAGCAGCGTCCCACAGCCCATCAGCTTTCCCTAAACCATGTTGGATTGCTTTTTTTTTTTTTTTTTTTAGTCTTTTTCCTTTTTATCGATACCAGGGATCGAACTCACGACTGCCTGCTTGCAAGGCAGGCGCTTATGCCGCTGAGCTAAATTCCCAGCCCCTGGATTGCTCTCTTGCACATTGGCGGAAACCCTGCTGCTCCTCAGAGCAATCCCTGTTGCCCCCCTCTCCATCTGTCTCCACAGGCTGATACTGTGTCCTAGCAAATAACAGCGGCATATCAAGACGTTTCTTACCTTCTGGGTCAAACAGACCCTTGTGTTCTTACTAAAGCTTCTGTTTTTAACCAAAAAGCTATTTTTCACCCAATTCTGTAAGGCAAGTCCTCAATTTGCTTCTTTCTCCGCAGCCCACAGGACTCACCCTAACTTGTTTCTAAAATACTCAGGCTGAGCTGGTATTTCCACACAACAAAGTCACTAATAACTAAAAAAAAAAAAACAAACTTTGCCTTCTCTAGGCCTGTGACTTGCTTTCCACCTGTCCTGTAATCATATGTTTTTGTTCATATCAAAGCTGCCATTGTGGGGGCTAGGGGTTTAGCTCAGCGGCATAAGCACCTGCCTTGCAAGCAGGCGGCCGTGAGTTCGATCCCCGGTACCGATAAAAATGAAAAAGACAAAAAAAAAAAGTACAAAAAAAAAAAAAAGCTGCCGTTGGTTCACGCAGTGGCATGTGTTTATAGTCCAAGCTATTAGGAGGCTGGGGCAGAAGGATCCCAAGCTGGAGGCCAGCCTGGGCAATTAGCAAAACCTATATCAAGATAAAATATAAAAGGCTACAAGTGTAGTTCAATAGTTGAGCATTTCCCTAGCATGTGAGGCTTTGGATTCCACTCCCAGCTCAGAAAAAGAGGGGGAAAAAAAAGAAAAAAGCTGGCTCTTTTTAGCAGATGTTTGCCTTCTAAGTCACGTTATTAAAGCAAATGGGGTCAGACTGTAGAGCACCACCACAAAAGCCCTCCTTACCTTTTTCCTTGGAGCCAGTGTCCACAAAGAAGAGTTTGTCATCTGGGGCCTCTGATAACAAGCCACTGGGAAACGAAAATGCAGATTATAAGCCAATGATGTTGACAAGAGAACAGTTTTAACCACTTTAGGTCCAGCCTTCCTCTCGGGCTCATTTAGAGCCCATCTTCCCGTCGTGGGACTCTTCCGGAGCCCCCTTTACCAGCCTTTTCCTTCCTGGTCGTGGGGATCGAACCCAGGCGTGCTCCAACAACATCCCCAGGCCCTCTATTTTGTTTCATTTTATTTTTGAGGCAGGGTCTCACAAAGTGGCCTAGCAAGACTCGAATCTTCGATCCTGCTGCTTCACCCGTCCTAAGTACTGGTTTTACAGGCGAGCACCACCATGCTGTTAGCTCAAAAAGCCTAAACTGACGCCCAGAATGTACCAATACTAAAGAGTCATCTGCTGTTCACTTAAGCTTCAAGCTATGTCGGGTGTCTGATAACTCTATCAAGCCTTCCACCCTAACATCCCAATCCACCCACCTGGGCTTTCCGCGTGGGTAACCAGGAGGGGGTGCCCCAGCCTACCGGAAGTCCCTCCCCAGAACGCGACCCCGCTCCCAGAAGTTCCGCCCCCACGAACCCGATCGTGCGCTCCTGTAGCCTCACGTCCTCCAGGAACTGATCAACCTCCAGCCCCAGCGGCTCCTCAGCAAGCCGCCTCCAGCCCCGTTTCTTGTTTCTCGGGCCGCGCCGCCGCCGTCTCAGAGCCGGATCCACCGAAGTGGGTC